TAATTTTTAGGAGTAGGGCCATAGCTCTGTGGTAGACCACCTGCTTTCTGCCTGTGACTCTGGGGAGTCACTGCCAGTCAGAATAGACAATGCTGAGCTAGGTGGACTGATGCTCTATAACTCTGTGTCATGCAACTTCTTATGTCTGATCCTTCAGTGGCTTTGCAAAGGTTTTTGGCCCTGAAAAGCAGCCATAACTGGAATGAATGAATGAATGCATGGACTAGGTGTTTGGAGTGCAGTGGCGTGGGGGGAAATCCACTGACCAGCCTTGCAAGCTCAGCAACTGGTTGGCCTCCCCACTCCCTGGGGTTGTCCCTACTATCAGCACAGCATCTTGCTGGTAGGCACAATGGCTATGCTCTTGCTCTGCAGATGGAAGGAGAGGAGAGGGCTCCTGTGCTCAGGGTCAGCTTGGAGGTTTCTGTTTGGAGCATCTCGCTGGCTACTGGTGATAATAGGATGCTGGACTAGGTGGGCCATTGGCCTGATCCATGAGGGCTCTCCTTATCTTTTTATTTAAGAGGTGCCCTGCTAGATCAGGCTAAGATGGGCAACCCCACCAAACCCAGAATCCTCTTCTCTACAGGAACCCAGGAAGCCCACAAGCCAGGTATCTCTTTGCATCTTTACAGGGGGACATCCCTAGGTGCATGGAGTCAAGAAAACATAGTTTTGTGGTTGCGTTTATGTCATTGTTCTCATTTTAATAACAAGTTTGTCCTGTAGATGATGATAATTGCATAAGAACCAGCCCCTGACTTTATCAGAAGACAAAGAACTTGGCTGGCTGCCTTTCCCAACACACCCTGCTCTTGTTTTTTGATTTTGTCAACCCTTCACCCAGCTGGGGAAATTTTGTGTTGAAACCAGAAAGTGTTTCTGCTGGTGGTTTAAGTACAGAAGGCACCCTGTGGTGGACAGAGCCTCTTTATTACCGGGTGAAATCTGGGCTCTGGAATGTGAAGCAAGAAGAGACAACAGTGCTCCTGAGCCAGGTGCAGACTGCATTTCCCTCCTTGCCAAGAAGCCACTGAGAGTCTCATTTACATCAAGGATCAGGGAGAAGGATCACAGTTTGTGTGTTTTCTGGAAACGTTCTGGGTCATGCCATTTCTGCTGGCCACAGAGCCCATAGCCTGACATCAGATCATATCCCTAGGCCATCTTGATTCATATTGTCTGCACTGACTGGCAGCAGCTGTTCTGGCTTTTAAGCAGGGGGCTCTGTACCAACCCTATGTGGAGATGCCAGCAGGGATTGGACCTGCAACCTTCTGCATGAAAAGCAGGTGCTATAATACTGATCTATCTGCTAAAAATTAATAGATTCCAGTCTTCAAGGTTCTGAATAAAGGGACTGAACCTGAAGCCTTCTGCATTTAAAGCAGCTGCTCCGGTACAACAGAGGTACTGCATTTTCCAAACTGGTGTTTATACTGGCAGGCTATGAACAAGGGCTAATTTTGAAAAGCAACATAGACTCAGTGCAGAACATGGAGAATTCCTACGCAGACCTACCCTTTTTTTCCTTTGCAGATTGCATTCTACAGAAAGGAAGAAAACAAAAACTTGATCCCCCCCCCACTTTCTCTTTATAAGCTGCCTTAGACAATATTTCCACCAGCGGCAATAAATCAAAGCAAACACCACCAGGTTCTGTCAGTGGGGGCCAAATCTCAGCTAAAATGCAACCCAACGAGCTTCCCACCCAAAACTCTCACCCAGTGGCGTAGCGTGGGTTGTCAGCACCCGGGGCAAGGCAAGTAATTTGCGCCCCCTAACCCGTGGATTTGCGCCCCCTAACCCTAAACCCCAGATGTTGCACCCGGTGCGGCCGGCCCCCCCCTGCACCCCCCACGCTACGCCACTGCTCTCACCTTCCCAATCTGCGTTTATGTAATCCTGGCTTTCAACAAAAGCATCCAAAGTCCATCACCACGGAGAGGCCCTTGGGACATATCCTGCCACTGCCTTTTGGCAGAGTCACGATGGAGCACTCTAACCTGGGAATAGCAGTGCACTTTGGAACACAGCAACACACCCATCAGTACACAAGCTGAGCTGTCACATATAATAAATGATATGTACAGATGCAAATTTAGGCCAATACTCAAGAACCCTTGGGTGCCAGATCTTACTCTGAGGAAAGGGCTACCAGCATGATATTATGGGCCCAGCAGGAAGGGGGCTTTTTCAGCATGAGGGCCACATTCTCTTCTGAGCAACCTTCCAGGGGCCATGTGCCAGTGGTAGGTGAAGCCAGAGGCAAAAATGGCTATAGCAATTCATGCAATTTTATCTTTTGACAGTAAGCTAGATTCTACACTTGTATGAAGATCCTGCAGGATCAGGCCAGTGGCCCATCTAGTCCAACATCCTCTTCTCACACTGGCCAACCAGGTGCCTCTTCTGGGTGGCCCACGAGCAGGACCTGAGCACAAGAGGCCTCTCCCCTCCTGCAACTGGTGTTACAGAAGCATTGCTTTCTCCAGCTGGGGAGGAAGAGCATAGCCACTGTGGCTTTTGGCCATCGTCAACTACCTCCTCCATGAATTCGTCTAATCCTTTTTTTTAAAGTCACCTAGGCCATCTTTTCCCAGCCACCTAGCTTTTCCCAGTAGTGATGTAGTGATGTATGATGTATTTTCCCAGTAGTGATGTATGGAAGTGAAAGCTGGACCATAAAGAAGGCTGATCGCCGAAGAATTGATGCTTTTGAATTATGGTGCTGGAGGAGACTCTTGAGAGTCCCATGAACTGCAAGAAGATCAAACCTATCTATTCTTAAGGAAATCAGCCCTGAGTGCTCACTGGAAGGACAGATCCTGAAGCTCAGGCTCCAATACTTTGGCCACCTCATGAGAAGAGAGACTCCCTGGAAAAGACCCTGATGTTGGGAAAGATGGAGGGCACAAGGAGAAGGGGACGACAGAGGACGAGATGGTTGGACAGTGTTCTCGAAGCTACCAGCATGAGTTTGACCAAACTGCGGGAGGCAGTGGAAGACAGAAGTGCCTGGCGTGCTCTGGTCCACGGGGTCACGAAGAGTCAGACACGACTAAATGACTAAACAACAACAACAACAGGCCATCACTGCTTCCTAGGGATGAGAGTTCCAAAGTCTAACTTTGCACTGTGTGAAGAAGTCCTTTCTTTTAACTGACCTGAATCTTCCAACATGAGAGAGAAACTTTTATCTCTCCACTTTGTCCACACCATTTTGGACACTATTATCATGTTGCCCCATGCACACACACACCCCACAGACCTCAATAGGTCAATGTTTCCTTATGATTTTTAGTAGGACCAAAGAAAGCACTTGTGCAATGGGAGGAGTCAAGCTGCAGATTTAGAAGCCGCCCCAATTTGCTCTCCAGAACCAATGGCTATACTTGCATCTCTTCTAAAGCATTAAAGCAGCTTAGCAATCAGATCCTCTTTAAGAGAGACAGTAAAAATACAAGCTCAGAGAAATTCAGGGTTTCCCCTTCCTGGTCTTGGTGACGGCAAAGGAGAGGTCTCTTATCTGGTGCAAAGAGCCGGAGAGGATTCTGCACAAGAGGTGAAGAGCAAGAGAGGATTTAACTAAAATAACCACACCCTGCTGGTTATCTGGGGCATGGCCTCTCAGGAATATCCCCATTGAATCAAGAAGGGGTTGGTGAGCTCCTTTCCATGTGGGGTGAGTGTCTCATAGATCAATGCTGAATAGTGGAAGATTCAGGACATGTAGCACATTGTTAAACTATGGAACTCAGTGCTACAGGAGGCAGGGGCAGCCTAGGTAATTTTAAAAGAGGATTAGAAAAATTCATGGAGGGCTGTTGATGGCTATTAGCTATGATCACAATGCTGTCTCTACCTTTGAAGGCAGTAATGCTTCTGAATTCTAGTTTCTGAAAGCCACAGAAGGCGAGAGGGCACTTGTTCCTGAGTCCTGCTTACAGCAGGTTTCCCACTGGGGCATCTGGCTGGCCACTGGGAGAACAGGATGCTGGACTGGGCCCCCTTTGGCTTGATCCAGCAGGCTCTTCTTATGTTCTTATGAGATCCTGAAAGATGGGAGTGGTAGGATGGGAGAAGAAAGTGGGGGGAGGGTGGACAAAGAAAGGAAAGAGGAGGCACCTCCCATCTCTGAACCTTTGGAGAACCACTGCTGCCAGTCAGTGCAGGCTGGGCTGCTGGGCTGACTCATTTTAATACACTTTCCCATGTAGCTCAGTGTTGGAGCATCTGCTTTGTTTGCAGAGAGTACCCTCTTCAATCCCTGGAACTTCCAGGTACAGCTGGGATTATCTCTTAAATCTGAAGCACTGGGAAACCACTGTTGCTAGTCAGTGTAGTCACTAGTGAACTAAATGGAGTGCATTTAGTCCATAACTCAGAAGCATCCAGCTTCCTGTATTCCTGTTTGATTCAAACTTCTTCAGAACTATGAGGACTGGAAACTTTAGGGGAAGGGCTATAGCTCCGCTGAGAATGTCCCCTGTCTGAAACTCTGCAGAGAAGCTTCTGCTGTCAGCCAGTGCAGCCAGTCCTGAGCTTCAGTTAATTCAGAACTATGAGGACTAGTATCCTAACAAAGGCTCCTCCAGAAGCCCCGGAAAGACACTGCTGCCAGTCTGTGTAGACAATACTGAGCTAGACGGCTCAATAGTTGGACTCAGTGCAAGGCACTTCCTACCTCCCTATTTTTAGGCTTTTCTATAGAACTATAGAACTCGGCGGGGAATGCCTCCTGCCTGAAATTCCTGGAGAGCTGCGGCCAGTCCATGTAGACAGTACTGAGCTAGATCGACATGTGCTTCTGTTTAATTCAGCTATTTCTCCAGAATCGTGAGGACTAGAATCTTTCTTTCTTTTCAGGGGGAGGACCTGATCAAAGCTCTGACTCAGCCCTAAAGCAGCTCCCTCTCTTGGAAAGCCAAGCCCGGGCGCCGAAAAGCAACCGTGAGCGAGCAAAAGGAGGGCGTTTCCGCCGGGTGTGTCCGCCCATTAAGGGACGGGACGGGCCCGGCTGAGCCGCCTGGAGTTGCGTGCCGTCACTGCTGCTGCCACTGTCACCTTTCCTTCCGCGCCTACAACGTTTCGCGCTCCACTACGCGGCTCTCCCGGGCTGTGCGCTGCGTGGAATCCCACCAGCTCCTCTCCACAGGACCCGCAAAAGGGGAGAGCGAGACTTTTTACTGCGGCCCCCGGCGCCCTTTTGCGCGCAGGATGGAGACCCAAGGCGGGTGGCTCTTCTTCTGGGTGCCCCTCATGCTGGTTCTGGTGGCACTGGCGCTGGAGCTCAGCCCACGGGCCAAGTTCAAGGCGAAGATTGGCTTCTACTGCGTCCTCTGCGTGGTTGCCTCCACCTTCACCGCCCCCGTCTGCCTCCTATGGAACCGAGGAAGGACTGTCCACAACATGACGTGAGCTTGGAAGCTTCCCCGCTTCCCCGATCTCCTTTATTTATTTGGGGTGTTCTTTGCAATAATAGCTGAGAGTTTGGGCTATATACACGCGCGCGCGCTCGCGCGCGCGCATGCATCATAGCGGGTTGGACTAGATGATCCTTTGCTTCCTTTCCCATTCTACGATTCTGTGACATCCCTCCCACCGTTTCCTTTCCCGGGTCGGGATTCCTTTCCTACTCAGGGCGTGGAGCTCTGCGCTCGCTCGCAAGCTCTCCTCGTGCTTTTCTTTCACGGATGTTTAGCAGGCAGTTTGCAAAGTGTGGCAACGTTTGGAGGCTCACCTCTGCCAAGGACAGGCTCCTTGTTTTTCCCACACACGTGTCTTAATACAAGTGACTGCTTTTTTTAAATTTATGTTTTGCCGCCCTTAAAATATTTGCAAAAATCCACAGAACGCGGCTCATGCAATGTCTTTGGAAGCCCGTTTTCTCTGCTGCCTTCTAACAAAACTCTTAATGCAAGCTTTCCGTTTTGGTGACTTGTGGAGCGAGCCTTTTCAGGAGGGAGAGTTTTCCTCCTCCGCTCTTCCGGGTTTGCAAGTCCTGCCTCTTCCTGGAGAGTAGAGAGCAAGCTAGGATAGAGAAATCTCGCTTTAAACCAGCGGTCTCAACAGGTTGAGAAAGGCTGCTTTTGCTTTCCATTCTCTTAAGAAACCTTGATCCTTCACTTCCTCAAATCTCACGCGGGCGCACTTTACAAGAGCCCCAAATCTCACACCGGGGTGGGGGGGGGCGGACTCTGTGCATAGTCTAGAGCAGCGCTTTTCAAACTTTTTCGGCCACCGCCCCCTTGCCTCCATAAACTCAACCCCAGCGCCTGCTACCCTACCCTATAAAAAGACATTGTTCAGAATTTTTTTGTTGGCATCCATTTGTCTCGAGAGACAGTGGAATGCGCCTCCGGGGGTGAAGTCAAACTGCTGTAGAATCACGGTCCCAATAACAGACAATAACAGTAAAATTCAGAACAGCAACAATTAATTGCACATTTACTCAAAATCCAATTAAAACTCTTTGGCTTAATTGGAGGAACTTGATCCAGTGATAGCAGCTTTTCAAAGTGTAATAGTCATTTACACCTTCAGCGCCATTCTGCCCCCCTCTTGTCTCTTAGTGCCCCCCAGGGAATCAGCCTCCTCCCGCCGCCCCGCCCCCCCCCCTCGCCATGTTACTGCACACTTTGGGAACCACTTGGTCAGGGTGTCTTTTCACACCTCTACCTCCCTTTGCTATTGCAAAGAACAACAATCCCAAGAACAAAATACGCAGCTGGCTGCTCAGAAGACTGCCCCCCTCTAGACTTGGGGAAATTGTGCACACCCACCCAGCTATGACAGTTGTCTCCAGCATTCCTTCCTGACTCCAGTCTAAATTAAACCTGCCCAAAGCATTGATGCGTCATCTGTGTATGTTTAAAAAGTTCAGACCCTCCAAGTGCCCCTATTTTCCAGTGACGTTCCTGGTTTAGAGAAGCCGTCCTGGTTTCCGATTTGATCCCGGATTGTCCCACTTTTCCTTAGGATGTCCCTAATTTCATTGGAGAAATGTTGGAGGGTATGGAGTTATCTGACCCCCCCAGCCATCTGAAGGCAATCCTGTATAGGGAAGGTGTTTTTTTAAAAAAATGTTTAATCTTTTATTACGTTTCAAATATGTTGGAAGCTGCCCGGAGTGGCTGGGGCAACCCAGTAAGATGTGTGGGGTATAATAGTAAAATTATCATTATGGAATGGGACGTCTCTGTTTTCATCGGAGAAATGTTGGAGGGCATGAAAGTTGCTTTCTGGCTTGCATATGCACCACATATTTAGAGCATATTTCTACCCACCCACACCTGAAGAATCCTGGGAACTGTAGTTTAAGGGTGTTGGAAATTGAAGTCTTGTGAAATATAGTTCCCACGATTCTTTTGGGGAGGGGTGTTTTTAAATGTACAGTATAGCGCGAATTTAGCCTTTTTATAATAATAATATTTTATTATTTATACCCCGCCTATCTGGCTGGGTTTCCCCAGCCACTCTGGGGAATTTAAAATTTTTTTAAAGTGGAGATGTGAGTTTGGACTAGCTTCTTACTATTATTCTCGCGCTCTCTCTCTCTCAAAAAAAGAAGAAGAATGAGATCTCATTTCTCTTCCCTTATTAGTTTAGCAGAATCCAATGAAACATTAATGAAATCGCCAGCATCTACTTTGCAGGCAGTTTCTTTAAAAAATAATAATCAGCATGTCACCCAACATCTTCAGAGGCGTTTTATCCAACAATATCTCCTTAGAGTAAACACACTGGAATTAAAGGGCTTGACTGATTTGGGTCCATTAGTGTCAATGGACCTATTATTTAACGTGTTTATATTTATACCTGCTTCCTCCCAAGGTGGTATGCAAGGCAGCTCATAGCATTCAAAAGCAACATTCTAAAATATAATTATAATACATCAAAGTTGGACTACAACTCCATTGCTTTTCTATCCCCTCCACCCACTTTAGTTTTGGAAGCCAGCTTGTGCTACACAGAACGGGCGTCACAGTTCCCCCTTCCATGAACTTGATTTCTTTCTCTGCAAGCGATCCATGATATATTTCCCCCTAATTAAATGATATTGCATAGTGGCTGGTCTAAGGGAGCTGCAGCAAAGATAATGAGCTGCTATTTTGAATCAACTCTAATTACAGCACTCTTGCTATGTGTGGTTTCTAGAATCAGGCCCTGCCTGGCAGGTGGCAGGTCAGTCTGGATTTCCACAGCATATTTTTTTTAAACACATGCTAGTATCCATACTGCTGAATAACCAACCGCAAAAATATTATGGCAATTTAAATGTTGCCATTATTTTGCATTAAATAACTAGGCCTGCATTTCCATTTCAGAGAGAGTGAGAGTGTTGGGTGGATGTTTTAGTGCAATAGTGTGAGTTGAGGTGTCTTCGTCTGGCTGCACATACTGACTTCTGAGCAAGCAGAGATCAGCATTCCAGACCCACCCAAATTTTACTTCTTTATAATGCTTCAGGGCATCTAGGTCTGTTGAAAGGGGTGAGAAGAAGATAACTTCTCTTTGTGGACCTTCACTTCCTTGGGTGATCAAGTGACACAACTGGAATTATTTCAAGCATCTAGCCCTCATGGTTACTGAGAGAATCTTGAAATTCATGCAACAGCCTTTTAATTATTATTATTTTAAAGCCCCAATTAACTTGCATTTCAACTGGTTTTGATGTTGGCTTTATTGGGACATTTCAGAATGTAATGTGCAGAAGTTCGGGAGTTGGGCATTGGAACAAAGCCACTCCTGTCAATCATGTGTCATGAAGTGATTGCTAATTGTTCTGCTGGTGTGTTTGCAGAAAATGTGTGTGTGCATTCCCTTTACTGCAACTGGAAATATATTTCACCAACATGGCTGTTCTCCAAACATGTGTACCAAAGTGTTTTTATGCAATAGACACACATATTCCTCTTGTAAACAGTGTAGGAGAAATATAGTACAGTGGTACCTTGGTACTCAAACTTAATCTGTTCCGGAAGTCCGTTCCAAAACCAAGGTGCACTTTCCCATAGAAGGTAATGCAAAACTGATTAATCCGTTCCAGACTTTTAAAAACAACCCCTAAAACAGCAATTTAACATGAATTTTACTACTGAGACCATTGATCCATAAAATGAAAGCAATAATCAATGTACTGTACTGTAAAATAAATAAGATAGTATTGTAGATGATAAAAATTAAAATATAAAAAAATTCTAACCTGTACTGATGATAGTCATTGTTTGGATGGGGGCTTTTATCCATTTCCGCAGTCACACAGTCAATCAATCCATCAGTAGCTGAACTGGGTTGCACACAGTCACAAAAACAAATTAACACAAAAAGCCTCAAAAACAAAACACAAAATAAATAGCAAAAACAAAAGCGCCAAACTTAATCTGTTCCAGAAGTCCGTTTGAAATGTTCAAAAACCAAGGTGCAGCTTATGATTGGTGCAGGCGCCCCCGAAACAATAGTCAACAGCCACATTGGACGTTCGGCTTCCGAAAAACGATCGAAAACACTTACTTCCGGGTTTTCGGCATTTGGGAACCAAGGCGTTTGAGAACCAAGGTACCACTGTATTAAATAAAAGACCTCTTTATTTCAAGCTTCTTTAAACACTTTTCCTGAAATGCCCTACATGGGAACATGGGTGTAGTCTGGATTTTTGTTGAAAGGACAGGCCTTTTGTTTTCTGGGGGGCAGAACCTCAGTTAGCTATGTATTTTTATTGATTTTGGAGGGGCAGCTGCCCCTTCCTGTCCCCCGTCCCCCCGAGCTGCACTCATGGGTGGGAAAACTGAGCTGGTGTGAAAGGGAACCTCAGTTCCACTCCACCCCCACCATCCGCCATGCCAACTGTTTTCTCTCATCCAAAATTGTGTGTCCCTTTCCCTGGTGGATACAATACACAGAAATGACTGCCTTAATAGTATTAAGTTCAGGGTCTAAATTAACTTGAGCTGCACCACCAGCAGTTTCGTGGTGTAGGCCTCCCCAGTGTGCTCTGCCTAGCCACCCCCACCCCACCCCCCAAAACCTGCGGTCACTTTTGTCAGCTGCCAAGATGAAATCTGGTTACTGAATGCAGCCCTTTCTTCAGTACTATGAGGACTAGAACATCGATATATATATAGAGAGAGAGAGAGGAGAGGTGTGGCTCAGGGACAGAGCATTCACTTGTAGAAAGCTTGTTGGAACCTCCATATATAGCTGGGAAAACATCCCCTGCCTCAAACCCTGGAGTACAGCTGCTGCCAGTCAGTGTAGACAATATGGAGCTAGAATAGACCTTTGTTCTGACTCCATAAAAGGCTGTGCTCCTATTTAATTCAGCCTTTTCTTCAAGTCCATGAGGACTAGAATGTAAGCAAATGTGAGATTTCTCTCCCCCTCGAGCAAAAATAATTGTGCCGGGTTGTGAGTGGGGCATGGGATGTGGGTGTCAGAATTCCCCTTTCACACCCCTTTCCTCCTTTCTTGTGTTGCTCCACACCCTGACAGACTGGAATTGTTTGGGTCCCATGAGGTATTCAGAGGTGTGTGAGCTCCAAACACGTGTGTGTGTGTGTGTGTGTGTGTGTTGCTGTAATGATGCTTTCATGTCAAAAGCTTTACTTAAAAGAGGCAAGTTGAGGCAAGAATTTTGTTTAGCAGGAATGCCTGTGGCGAGGCCTGACACTTTGCCACACGGTCACTTATTTGCATGCTTTTTACAAGGACAACACCCACCACACAAAGGGCAAGAGGTGAGGAGCCTTCCTTTTGCGAATCCCCCAGGTGCGCATTCCCTTACAGGTAACATTCCAGGGGCTACAGGCCACTTGTAGGTATAGCTGCACACAAGTTGGAGGGTTAGATATGGAGTTAGTCATGTGCAGAGTAAAGTAAAGGTAAAGGGACCCCTGACCGTTAGGTCCAGTCGCGGACGACTCTGGGGTTGCGGTGCTCATCTCGCTTTACTGGCCGAGGGAACCAGCGTACAGCTTCCGGGTCATGTGGCCAGCATGACTAAGCCGCTTCTGGCAAACCAGAGCAGCGCATGGAAACCTTCCCGCCGGAGCGGTACCTATTTATCTACTTGCAGTTTGACGTGCTTTCGAACTGCTAGGTTGGCAGGACATGTGCAGAGTAGACCTGTTTAAATTTTTTAAATGTGGCCTGCAGACACCTCATGCTTTTGGAGTACGTGGTTTCTTCCCCCAAAGAATCTTGGGAAGTGTAGTTTTGCTCCCTAGGGAGCTACAGTTCCCAGTGCCTTTAACAAACTGCGGTGCCTATAACTCTTTGGGGAAAGCTAAGTGCTTTTAACTTTTTTATTTCATAAAATCTATACAGCGCTTCATGATTTAAGAAAGAAAAACTTTAACACAGTTAACAACAGAGACAAAAACAAAAAATTATCAACAGGAAGAATTAACAATAATTTTAGACATTCGAACAGTTAAAATAGCAATAGACTCACACCTGCTTTATAAATAGCTGCATAGGCTTGTCTACATAAAATTGTTTTTTGCAGGTGCCGAAAAGAGTATAGCAAAGGCGCCTGACCAATATCCATAGGCAGGGAGTTCTGGGGGTTAGAAAAAATTGAGTTCTGAGAGATGTGGGGCGGGGATTATGTGTGATGTGTACGCAGCCTAACACTGGCATGTTAAATATAGGATAGATCTGCACCCTATATTTATTTGGACTTCCCTCAATGAATCCTGGGAACTGCAGTTCACCCTTCACAGAACTGCAGCAGGGGCTGTACCTTGGAGCAGCAAACCTTCCCCTAAAAATGAAGATTATTGTCATGGTTCTGAGTAAAGGGCTAAATTTAATAGGAGGTTGCTACTTATATTTAACTTGGGAAGATGCCTTCTACTAAGTCAGACTCTTGGTCTACTGTCTACACTGGCTGACATCAGCTTCACGAAGGGGCTTCTGGAAGGGAGTCTTTTCCCAAGACCTACCTGGAGGAGATCTGCTGGGTGTTGAACCCAGGACCTTCTGCAAGCAAAGCAAGTGATCTGCCACTGAGCTGCAGCCCTTCCTCATACATTTGGTGCCCTCCAGGTGTCTTGCACTAAAGCTCCCATCAGTCCCAGCCAGCAAGTCAAAACCTTGAACAATTCAGCTAAATGCTTGTTTGCAGAGCCTGCATTAACAGCCTGTCCTAGAAATATTGGCTGGCTCTCCTAGTTTGGGATCCTTCTGACACACAGGAACTCTCTGAGATTGTCCTGCAGACCAGACAGCAAACAACTGGTTGCTCAACCAATCTGTTCCCCACCACCACCCCTTACTGCCAGTTCTCACATTCCCCTCCTAGCAGCTCTTCCCACAGGCCCAGCCAGATGAAGCCTGCAAAAGAAGGAGCAAAAGAAAAATCCTAATGTGTGAGCATTAGCCCCAGAAGCCACTTAAAAAGGGATCAAGGATGCAGCGTGGCCCACATGCAAAGGGGCGGTGATCACACTTACTCATCCTCTTAGAGCCTATAAATAGAAATCCTAGAAGCACATTCACCAGGGGTGGCAGAATTTATTTATTTGCAGGGCATAGTAAGTTCTGGCATCAAGCAAACACAAAGGCCATTAAACAACAAGAGATTTTAAAGTCCTAAAGCAGCAGCTGGAAACTTCTCAGGCCACATGTGGCCCTTTGGCCCTCTCTGTCCAGCCTCCAGCGTTCTTTCCTTGACCACCCTTCTGCCCCCAACCCTCTCCCCATGGGCCCTGCTGCTCCTGGAGTACATGAATGTGCTTGGAATGTGTCCTTGAGCTGTGACAACACTGCTGGCCTGCCTGAACTGAGACATGTCTATATCTGTATATCTATGTATAGAGCAACCTCTGGGGCTGCAGTTGATGAAACTCTACTCAGAGTAGACCAATGAAATTAGGGAAGGGCCATGGCTCTGTGGAAGAGCCCCTGATCTGCATGCAGAAGGTCTTGGGTTCAATCCCCAGTGTCATCTTCAGGTAGGGCTGGAGAGTTACTGCCAGTCAGTGTAGACAATATGGAACTGAATGGACCAATGGTCCAATGACTCAATAGAAAGCAGCTTTTTATGTGCCAGGTTCGCACCAGAGGAAAAGACTCCTGTTCATTATCAACCAGGGTTCCAGAACAGCCTCAGAACTTAACAGTGTGGTTCTGGTTTTGCAGTTCTGGGGTTGCACACTTTTTGCAGCAGCCGGATGCCAGGCTGAATAGCGAGATGCCAGTGGACCAGTTTTGGGGATACAGTTTGACATTAAAAAAGTAGTAGTAGTAATGTTGTTTGTTATACAACCTTAGTGTACCAAGGGGTTGACCTGACCCAGAAAGGCCACCCTGGCCAGTAGGTCACCTCCAGAAGGGATTGATCTACTCCTGTGCCACAATTTAGTGGCTAGTGTGGTTCTTTGGAACACGTTCTCTGGCCTTATTGGTCATCAAATATCCCTTCCCTGAGATTTATATAAGCTGCAAAGGGGGTTAATCTGGCCTTGTCCACAAAGGCTGTGATCTAGCTAACTTTGGATTCCAAGAGCCAGGACTGGGTTTGTGTATAAGGCTATGTACACACTGCAAATTTAAAGCAACCCACCCAACCCCCTTAAAAAGAAAAAAAGAATCCTGGGAACTGGAACGCTGTGAAAGGTAAAACAAAGTCCCCAGGGCTCTTTGAGGGAAAGCCATGTGCTTCAGATGTTTGGTATGTACACTCGACCAATGGAAGGGAGCCTGTATTGTTGGCTGGTTCTTGTTTTACAATAATCTTGTTAAGTTTATATTGCTCCTTATTCCTTCCTAGAATGGAGCGGCTCCCCTTTGAAGAAAGTTTGCAGCAATGGGGGCTTTTTAATTTAAAGAAAGCCTTTCTTTGCACAGCACATAGTTAAACGATACTTCCACAGGAGGCAGTAACAGCCACCAACCTAGACAGCTTTAAAAAAGGATAATACAAATACATAAAGGAGGAGAGGGCTAATGAGGGCTACTGGCCATAATGGCTGTGCTCTGCCTCCATAGGTGCTTCTGAATACCAGTTCCTGGAAACCACAGGAGGGGAGAGAGATCTTGTGCTTGAATCCTGTTTGCTGGTTTCCCCTTTGGGGTATCAGGTTGGTCACTGTAAGAACAGAGCACTGATCCAGCTGGTGGTTTGTAGATATAATAATAATAATAATAATAATAATAATAATACAGTGGTGCCCCGCAAGACGAATGCCTCGCAAGACGGAAAACCCGCTAGACGAAAGGGTTTTCCGTTTTTGAGTTGCTTCGCAGGACGAATTTCCCTATGGGCTTGCTTCGCAAGACGAAAATGTCTTGCAAGTCTTGAGATTTTTTTTTCGCTTTTCCCCCCCCTTTATCTAATCTGCTAAGCCTTTAATAGCCTTTAATAGCCTTTTAGCAGCTAATCCGCTAAGCCTTTAAGCCTTTAATAGCCGCTAAACCGCTAATAGCGCTAATCCGTTAAGACGCTAATAGGGTTGCTTCGCAAGACGAAAAAACCGCTAGACGAAGACTCTCGCGGAACGGATTAATTTCGTCTTGCGAGGCACCACTGTAATAAATTTTATTTATACCCAGCCAGAGCCAGGCTCAGGGCAGCTAACAGCATTAAAGTTTCAGTAAAAAACATAATGGGGGGGGGCACACCAATTTAAAATACAGGTTAAAATGCAATTTAAAATGCAGCCTCATTTTAAAAGTAGCCCATAGATCAAAACCATAAGGGGAGGGAAACATAAGGGTCAGACTGAGTCCAAACCAAAGGCCAGGCGGAACAGCTCTGTCTTGCAGGCCCTGCGGAAAGATGTCAAGTCCCGCAGGGCCCTAGTCTCTTGTGACAGAGCGTTCCACCAAGTTGGGGCCAATACTGAAAAGGCCCTGGCCCTAGTTGAGACCAATCTAACCACCTTGCGACCTGGGACCTCCAAAATGTTGTCATTTGTGGACCGTAAGGTCCTCCGCAGGGCATACCAGGAGAAGCGGTCCCGTATAAAGTGATTCAAGGCTGCATAGATGGGTCTTCTGCCTCAGCCCTTCCAATTTTATTCTCACAACAACCCTGTTGAGTTAAGAGTGAGAGGGGTTGCTTCAGACTTCACGGCACCTGGGCCTCCCTTTGTGCTGATGCTATGAATAAAGTGTGGCATTTTCATTTGGGCCTTTTCTGAGGAATCTTCAAAGTCCTTAGAGGTGCATGACCAAGTTGTGTGGCAGTGCTGGCTACTCCTGTTTTTCAGAGAATTTGGTGCCTTGAATCAGGCTTACTGTATGAATTTATGGTTGAGGCCTTGTCAGAATGAGGCCACCCACACAGGCAAGAATAAGGAAACAAAACAAAAAAAGGCATTCTACATACCTAGGGACGCTTTTGCCTTTTATTTTTTTAACTGTTTTCTGGGGGGTGGGGGTGGATTTCCTGGTGCAGCCGACATCTGTGTCATGAGGAAAATGTTGCAATGCTTTCTGATAGTGCTGTGGTGGTGGTGGAGCTGAGTGTAACATCATGACCCTATCGTCATTTCAGTCCTGGGTGAGGGTTCGAGATGCTGTAATCAGAGAGTGACTAAAAATCATGACATAAGGAGGTCAGATTGACTGTTGCAATAACGCCATGTTCCTTTTCAACAAACACTGTTTCCTGTGTGCAAAGTCTGTCTCTGTGTGTGTAAGGTTGTGTGAGTGAAGGGGGAGGAGGGAGAGGTGGAAGGCAGCAAGTCTGCTCAGGACTTGCCTCTGGCACAAAGAGAGGCTGCCTTAGACTGAGTCAGTCCATCTAATTCAGTGTCACCAACACTGACTGGCAGCAGCACTGGCTTTCCAGGGTTTTAGATTGGAGACATTCCCAGCCCTACCTGGATATTCCCAGAGGGATTGAACCTCCATCTCTGAACCCTGGTCCTTTCTCCTGGACAGAAGGTTGCCATAGAGCAGGGGTCAGTAAACTTTTTCAGCAGGGGGCCGGTCCACTGTCCCTCAGACCTTGTGGGGGGCTGGACTATATTTTGAAGAAGAAAAAATGATTTAATTCCTATGCCCCACAAAAAACCCAGAGATGCATTTTAAATAAAAGGACACATTCTACTCATGTAAAAACACACTGATTTGCGGGCCGGATTTAGAAGGCGATTGGGTCGGATCCGGCCCCCGGGCCTTAGTTTGCCTACCCATGCCATAGAGGATGTTCCTCCCCCCTGTCTGCAAAAAACAACAACTAAAAAACTAAAAACTAGGATGCTCTGTTGATTTTTCAAAGGAGGAGATGGAAGTGCCATGGCTTGCAAAACTACAATGCATTGGTTCTTACTTCAGAACCATGGAATGGAGTCTTTCTCCATAGGAGTGGACCATTGCCAGAGGCAGGGCATCTCTAGCTAGGGCTGAGAGTGAACCCCCACCCCCCACCCCAGTTTGCTCTGATTCAGTGAAAGGCAGCTTCTTAAAAAGAAGAATACCACCTCCAGTGTTTCTAATGCTCTTGGGGTGGCTAACAACTGTGAAGCGAGGGCAGAAATTCTAGCAGTGCTTTACAGTGGTATCTCGGGTTACATACGCTTCAGATTACAGACCCCACTAACCCAGAAATAGTACCTCGGGTTAAGAACTTTGCTTCAGGATGAGAACAGAAATTGTGCTCCGGCGGTGCGGCGGCATCAGCAGGCCCCATTAGCTAAAGTGGTGCTTCAGGTTAAGAACAGTTTCAGGTTAAGAACAGACCTCCGGAACGAATTAAGTACTTAACCTGAGGTATCACTGTATTTATTTATTTTCCTCTGGCAACAGAAAAAAAGTTCGTTTCATAAGGTTGTTATTAGAACTGGACGTCCTCCCATTAGATGAGGCTAGGTACAAACACAAGCATACCTGTAACGGATCCTGGAAGTCCGTTTTTTCCTTGGCTGTGCTTTTAGAGTACTAGGCTACGTGTGGACATAAGATGAGCCTTGGTGGATCAGGCCTAAGGGGATCTTAGAGTAGTCCAGGACCCTGGACCCAATAAATTCCCTATGCAAATTACTCTAATTTGCACATGAAGATTTCCCAGGAAATTCACATCACCAGATTAAGAACATAAGGAGAGCCGGTTGGATCAGGCCAATGGCCCATCAGGCCCAGCATCCTGTCCTCACAGTGGCCAACAAGATGCCCCCAATAGGAAACCTGCAAGCAGTTGGCACGAGGGCGCTCTCCCCTCCTGTGGTCTCCAGAAACTGGCATTCATAAGCATTACTGCCTCCAACTGTGTATGCAGAGCATTGACATCAGGCTTAGTAGGCACTGAACACCTCATCTCCTCCATGAATTCATCCAGTTCTCTTTTAAAGCCATACAGGTTTAGCGGCCATCAGGGCCTCTTGGTCCTGACCCACTGATGAGGCTGTGGGAGACACCCACCATGAATGACAGACGCCCAGGAAGGTGGCACCCACCTTGCCTCTGTCACCCTCAAGTGGCACAAAATTCTGGAGAGGTCTCTTTTATATATTGCGAGATCTCATGGAGCACGTGAGACTTCACAAGACTTTGGCGGTATCTTGCAAGATGATATCTTGCAAGACAGATGTCAGATGTCAGAATCTGGATTCAAGAAATTGGATGCATGGGTCCAAACTGACAAGAGCTCCACCTGCTCAACTGCTTAGAAGCGTGAGGGAAAAGCAGCCAGGCCAGTTTCTGGGGACGCGGCCTTCTTGCTGATGAGTTAATTTGCTTCAGAGCATCTAAGGGAGGAAAGGTGGTTCCAAACCCCAAAGCACCATGTATATTTCATGACTAAAAAAATTCCTCCCAGTAGCACCTTAGAGACCAACTAAGTTTGTTATTGGTGTGAGCTTTCGTGTGCATGCACACTTCTTCAGATACAGGTTTACTACACCTATCAGCTAATCACCCATTCCCACCACCCTTCTGAGTAATACCCCTCCCCACCCTCTCACTATATATAAAGTTCTGGTGACTTCTGTTTCAGTGTATCTGAAGAAGTGTGCATGCACACAAAAGCTCATACCAATAACAAACTTAGTTGGTCTCTAAGGTGGTGCTGGAAGGATTTTTTAAATTTTGTTTTGACTATGGCAGACCGAAATGGCTACCTATCTGTAACTATTTCATGACTGTTTATTAAGTTTCTGTCCTAGGATACAAGAAAGGTAGTCTCTCTAGCATAAGATCACCCCCAGTGAGCTTCAGGACTGAGTGGGGAGGGATTTGAACCCTGGTCTCCATCAGGGCCTAGTCCTCATTTAATCCCCACAACAACCCTGTGAGGTAGGTTATGCCGAGAGAGGTAGTTACTGGCCCCCAAGGTCACACCCATGACCTTTGTGACCAAATGGATGGATTTAAACCCTGGTTTCTCCCAGGGCATAGGGATGTGGGTGGCCTCTTGGGCTTGCCAATCAGAAGGTCGGCGGTTTGAATCCCCGCGACGGGGTGAGATCCCGTTGTTCGGTCCCAGCTCCTGTCAACCCAACAGTTCAAAAGCATGCCAGAAAGTTCGAGTAGATAAATAGGTACCGCTCCGGCAGGAAGGTAAACAGTGTTTCCTTGCTCTGCTCTGATTTCGGTGTTCCATTGCACCAGAAGCGGCTTAGTCATGCTGGCCACATGACCTGGAAAAACCTGTCTGCAGACAAACGCCCGCTCCCTCAGCCTATAAAGCGAGATGAGTGCCACAATCGCAGGGTCGTCTGTGTCTGGACTGAACTGTCAGGGGTCCTTTACCTTTACCTTTTGTCTCCCAGGGCACCCTAGCAACTATACTCCAACACACTACAGAGGCAACAAGCCGTTCTCGGCTTTTGAAGCTGGAAGGTGGGGCAAGTTACACATTATCCCAAGAGTGCACACACTAGCTGGAACACTCATCCACCACTCGTCTGCTCTCACCTGAGAGAGGGCAGGGTCCACTCCACTGCTCTCATGTGCCCAGGGAGGAGTTCTCTGGAGAGAAGCCAGCTGCAGAAAGGAAGAGGCTTGGTGCCTCGTGAACCAAGCAACTGAGGACCTCCCTGTACTCCAGCCAGGGTGGCAAAGCACTTCATGCTGGTCAGTGTAGACACAATACTGCACTAGATGGACCAAGGGTTTGACTCAGTATAAGGCAGCTTCCTAGGGACACGGGTGGCGCTGTGGTCTAAACCACTGAGCCTCTTAGGCTTGCTGACAGAGCTCCCATTGCTCTGTCCCAGCTCCTGCCAACCTATCAGTTCGAAAGCACACCAGTGCAAGTAGGTAAATAGGTACCGCTGTGGCGGGAAGGTAAATGGCGTTTCCATGCGCTCTGGCACTCATCATGGTGTTCCGTTGCACCAGAAGCAGTTAGTCATGCTGGCTACATGACCTGGAAAACTGTCTGTGGACTAACGCCAGCTCCCTTGGCCTGAAAGCGAGATGAGCGCCGCAACCCCATAGTTGCCTTTGACTGGTCTTAACCATCCAGGGGTCCTTTACCTTTACCTTTACCAATGCAGCTTCCTATGTTCATCATCATTACCATTATTAATATGTTCTTGTATAATTCAGCCCTTTATTGAGAACCATGACGACTTGCTTGTTCTTCTTAGGGGAAGGGGTACAGCTTGATGAAAGCACATCTGCTTTGCATCTCCTAGGTTCAATCCCAAAGGCAATTACAATGCAGCAATAATTTGTGTTGTCATGATTCAACACAAATTCAGCTGTTGAGGGGTGTCTGGGGTGTTGGGGAGGCGTAGTACCACTGGTGGGGGACATGCTGTGCTCCTTCCAGGGATAGTCTGTCCACCTTGGGTCCCCACCCTGCACTCAGCTCTCACCTGTGGCCCCTAGAAGCTGTCAGCATGCAACAGCAGCTTCAACTGGCCAGCTAAACCAGGTGAGGAACTTCCCCTGCATGTGAAGACAGGCTGCGGTGGACAAGACCAATAGTGGGTCCAGTGGTCAAGAAGGTTTGAAGGGAGACCATCTAGGAGAAGGAAAAATCTGATCTTATACCTTTGCTGCCTTGCGGGACATCTTCTGGAAAAGAGAAGACTAAGCAGTAAACCCTACACAATTCCGGAGTGAAGTCCGTGGGACGGTTGGGTGGCACCTTGTATGCCTCCTTTGGGCAACTCCTGCAGCCAGGCTGGTGCCAAACATATAGGTCTGGCAACTACCAGGTGGCTTTAAGAGACGATTGTGGAGGAAGACAAGACTATCAATGGCTACTTGACATGATGGCTATGCTCTACAGGAGGCAAGATGCCTCTGGACACCAGTTGCTGGTAATCACAAGAGGAGAGTTTCTGCTTTTGCGTTCCTGCTTGTGAGCTTCCCATTGGAGGCATTTTGCTGGCAACTGTGAAAAGTCAACGTCGGCTGAGATGGGCCTTTGGTTCAATCAGCAGGACTCTGCCTGTGGAGGACTACTGTGTTTGCAGGCCTTCCATCCCCAGGGGCAGTCTAGCTCAGAAGGGCAGTTGCCAGGTGGTACAGGTGGGGAGAGTTGCTGTTGCATCTGTGTCCTGCTTGGTGACTTCCCTTTGCAGCACCCCGTTGGCCACTTTGAGGACAGAATGGTGGATTAGATGGGCCATTGGCCAGATCCAGCAGGCTCTTCTTACCTTCTTAAGGTGGGTGATGTAGATTTCCTGGGAAATTTTCATGTGCAAATTAGAGTGATTTGCATAGTGAATTTATCGGGGTCACTAAACTTTAAGCTTACTGAGATCATCTGGATGACTGTTGCTAGTTCTCTTGCATGTTGCAGAGGCCGAGCTGGCCTCCATTAACATCACAGAATTGAAGAGTTGGAAGGAAACAGAGGGTCATCTAGTCCAAACTCCTGCAGTGTTGGGAGTTGGCCATTTATTTTCTCCGCTCCCATGTTGTGCAGAACAGACCTCCAGCAGAGATTCATCAGGCATCCTCACTTTTGACTTTCAGGTATCTTAGTTTTGTTTTGTTTTTATGCTGGCAGGCGTTTTCTGTCCTTTTATATTTTTTGTTGGGGAGGTCAGTCTGGATGAGGCCCCAAATCCCTTCTGATTCTGGGGTCCCGGGCCCAGTGAGGGTTAGAATCTAATGGAGGAGGTTGCTGAACAGGTCAGACAAGTTTCTTTGTAAGAACTTAGCTCAGAGGTTTTCAACCCTTTTGTGTCCATGGCTCCCTTGACCAACTACATTCTTTCTGCGGCTCCCCTGTGGGGAAATATACTCTGAGCCTCAGAAACCATTATGCCACCCCTTGCCAGCAGCCCCTCACCCCCTTTTGAACACCCTTCCTTGTGTTCACTTGGCTTCCTGTCCTTTCCCCCCTTCTTGGGAGTCTTCTGGGTGGGCAGCAGCTGCAGCCGCCTCAGTCTCAGAACCGCCAAAGGAGACTTGGCAACTGTGAATGTGAGGCTTGCACCTTACTCACCTTGGGTGGCAGCAGTGGGCACCACTGGGCCTGCCTGCCAAGCCTCCCACTTGTCCGCCCATTCCCAACAGCCAGGGCTGACAGACTGGTTGGCTGGGCTCCCTCACCCACTTGCTTCTTACTCTGAGGCAGCCTCAGCTCCTGGCAGCCAGCACCCCCTGGCCAGCCCCAGAGGCACCATTCACCTGTGGAGCTTGTAGCCAGGGCTGCTGCAACATACAGCCGTGTAAGCAGAGGCAGAAATGCGTGGAGGAAGGGAGGGAAGGAAAGGGATGGAGACCAGTGTTCCCTGTGGCACCACTGACCATCTTTCAAGGCACCCCAGGGTACCACGGCACACTGGTTGAAAATCCCTGCCTTTGCTGGCCACATACACATTCTCATCTGCATCCCCAAAGAATGAGCCAGGTTGCAAGAACTACAACTAAGTGATGGGACACTCCAGACTAATGTGGGGAGAGGGAGAGCTTTCCTCCACCCCTTTCACCTACTTGCAAGGGGAAAACAAGAGCCAGAGAGGTGTGTTATGAGCTGAGCTGGATGCAGCCTGGAAGCTGGAGACGCAGAGACTTGCTTGCTCTGTGCTGGATCCAAAGCTGTGACTAATGGAAAAGCAATATTTGTTGGTGTTGTAATTATTATTAATAATAATAATAATAATTTATTATTTGTACCCCACCCACTCTGGGCGGCTTCCAGCAAAGATTAAAAACACATTAAAATGTCACACATTTAAAACTTCCCTGAACAGGGCTGCCTTCAGATGTCTTCTAAATGTCAGGTAGTTGTTTATCTCTTTGTCATCTGATGGGAGGGCGTTCCACAGGGCAGGTGCCACTACCGAGAAGGCCCTCTGTCTGGTTCCCTGTAGCTTTGCTTCTTGCAGTGAGGGAACCGCCAGAAGGCCCTCAGCGCTGGACCTCAGCTTCCGGGCAGAATGATGAGGGTGGAGACGCTCCTTCAGGTATACTGGGCCGAGGCCGTTTAGGGCTTTAAAGGTCAGCACCAACTCTTTGAATTGTGCTCGGAAACGTACTGGGAGCCAATGTAGGTCTTTCAAGACCGGTGTTATGTGGTCTCGGTGGCCGCCCCCAATCACCAGTCTAGCTGGCGCATTCTGGATTAGTTGTAGTTTCCAGGTCACCTTCAAAGGTAGCCCCTCATAGAGCGCATTGCAGTAGTCTAAGCGGGAGATAACTAGAACATACACCACTCTGGCGAGACAGTCCGCGGGCAGGTAGGGTCTCAGCCTGTGTACCAGATGGAGCTGGTAGACATCTGCCCTGGATACAGAATTGACATGTGCCTCCATGGACAGCTGTGAGTCCAAAATGACTCCCAGGCTGCGCACCTGGTCCTTCAGGGGCACAGTTACCCCATTCAGGACCAGGGAGTCCTCCACACCAGCCCGCCCCCTGTCCTCCAAGAACAGTACTTCTGTCTTGTCAGGATTCAACCTCAATCCATTAGCCGCCATCCATCCTCCAACCGCCTCCAGGCCACTTGCCCAGGACCTTCACCGCCTTCACTGGTTCTGGTAATGCTATGAGCCCCTCTATCCTATGCTCATGTTGTGTATATGTGTAAAAAGAATCACATATCCTGAAGACACCGCAGCGTCCACTGACCTTCATTCCAAGAAAACCAAACCCAGGGTTAAGCACTTGGAATCCCTGGAGTCTCTCACTATTGGGGTGGTGTGTAACAATTTTTTTCTCAAGTAGCCAGTCACTTTGCATGTGATTTTATTTGTTTAAAATGCTCCTGTTACCTGACCTCTCCTTTCCTCTCCTGCCTACAGGATCATCAAAAATGTTGTCCGTAGCTTCAAGTACTTATATGGGCTGAGGTTTGACAAGAAGGGCCTAGAGCACTTTGAGGTCGAGGGGCCCTGCGTCATCGTCTCGAACCATCAAAGCATCTTGGACATGATGGGTGAGAATAGCCAGAAGAAGCTTCCCCTTGACCCAGCACTCAAAACTGGTTCACGTGATGATGGCATATTCCCAGAGTAGAACAGAAATACAGAATATAAAATGCAACATAATTTGTATAAACATGAACAGCTAAGTGAGGCAGCAGTAATTAAACAACAACAACAACCAGTGCTCACCTAGCCCAGAATATAAAATACAGTTCATTGCACAGGCTGCCTGAAACATGGTATTCAGAGCCTTTTTCAAAGAGTTGTTTGTGGTGATGTTCAAGAGGTTAACAGGCAACGAATAGCAATGAACTACAAAGCTGTGGAGCCACTACTAAAAAGGCACCCTCTCTCTAGAATCCCCACCAATTTCACTACCCGAAGGCAGAGGGCAAATGACTAGGGCCAACGTTGCCAATCTTTAATGTGCAGGCAGGTTGAAATGGGTACAAATGGCCTTCCAAATAATTGTTTTCCCAAAGCATTTTGGGCTTTAAAGAATTACACAACAAAAACAACAACAGTGCTTTGAATTGAGCACCTAAACACACCAACCAGCGATACAATGGAGATGATAAAGGCATTTCGTGCCCCTATCAGAAGTCTGGCGGCTGCCTTTAAAACCATCTGAAGTCTCTGAGCCATCTATAAGGGCAGCCCCATACAGTGCTCATAACAGAAGTTAAGCCTAGATCTAATTAGAACACAGATGGCTGCAGCTAGGTCCACTGTAAGACATTTTTAAAAATATATATTAGTTGACTGAATATCTCTTGGCTGCTCAAGCACAGATGTCTAAAGATTAAATCAGGGCAGGGAACCCTTTTTAACTTGAGGGCTGCATTCTATTAGAAACCCATAAAGGGGTCGCATGCTGGTGGGGGGTGGAGCCATAGACTAGGACCTGAGTGTTACAGCAGATGTGACTCTTAACCTTTTGTCCAGTGAATCCTGCGAAAGTTGGAATTTTCAACAAAAGGACACCCTGCACATCTCTCCATCTTCTAAATTTAGATCAGGGGTCGGCAACCAAAGGCTCATGGGCCGGTAGCGGCCCATGGGGCTTGTCTAACCGGCCCATGGCAACCCCTGCTGCCCCCCAGCCCGCTTTTACCGGCACAGCACAGGGACTGATTCTGGGTTGATTGTGCCTATGTGCATGTGCACGGGCACTCCTCCGACCTGGATGTGCACCGGAAATAGCGTGTGCGCACGGGCACTCCTCTGACCCAGAAGAGTGCGCTTGCACACATGCTCCAGCCCATCCTCCGACAGACAGAACGTGGACCGGCCCATCGTCTGGTAACCTTGCCAACCCCTGGTTTAGGTCCTATCAAAGCATCAACATAGTTTTGAAAGAGGTGCAAGGTTTACCCTGTTTGTTTGTTTGTTTGTTTGCTTCCTTGCTTGCTTGTTGCGTGTCAAGACCCCGCAGCCACCCCCTCGTTGGAAATAACTCACACAAGGACACGGATATTAGGTTTATGTTATTGGGCACATTTTGGCCACAGCTTTATTGAAATTACAGAATGTGAGCGGTATTGAGCACCCAAGAGGGTCTGTAGGGAAGGAGGGGGTCTTTCAGGTATTTGGATCCTGAGTTGTTTTAGGGCTTTGAACACTAAAGTGAGCACCTTGAATTGGGCCCAGAAATGAACTGGTGATTGGTAACCCTCTCATCAGCCCTGTAAGGTAGGTCAGGCACCAGCAGGGTCTTCCCTGTCCAAATCTAACACTCCTGCTCTGTGTTGCCGCAATGGGGACTCCCTGATAAGGGAAAGGGAGAGGATCCGTACTGGACCACAGAGCAGAACTCAGCATCCCGCCTGCTCTCCTACCCCTTTAGGCTTGATGGAGATCCTCCCAGAACGCTGCGTCCAGATCGCGAAGCGGGAGCTCCTCTACTTCGGCACCGTGGGCCTCATCATGTACCTGGGTGGTGTCATCTTCATCAACCGGAAGAGAACCAGCAACGCCAAGTCCGTGATGGCCGGAGTGGGCCAAGCCATGATGAAAGACAATGTGAGTTGCAGGCAGGAGGCGGGTTGCAAATATGTTTGTGCTATGGCATTTCGCCTCCAGTAGAATATTTTATTGGTTTTATCCTAAAATGCCACTGATCAACTCAATGAAACCTGCAGAGTACTACCTGTGTACACCAGTCACTTGTGAGAAGAACAGTTATCCTTTATTTCATTGTTTTTAAACTGTGGCATCTTAAACTCAAGCGGTGGGTCCTGCAATAAGCACATGCAATGACACACAGGGTGGTCCTTCTGACTTTATTCTTCATTTATTCTTCCATGGATATCCCTCTTTTCCCCCCAAGGAGTTCAAGATGGCGTACATGGTTCTCCCTTCTGCCTCATTTAATCTCCACAACGACACTGTGAGGGAGGCTAGGCTGAGAGGCAGTGGCTGGCAAAGTACCTCCAGTGAGCTTCACTGCCAAGTGAGGAGTTGAACCCTCCCGTCTCCCAGGTCCTAGCCCATATTTAATCCCCACAACAGCTCTGTGAGGTAGTTTAGACCGAGAGACAGTAACTGGCCCAACGTCACACGCAGTGAGCTTCATGGCTGAGTGAGGATGTGAACCATGGTCTCCCAAGTGCTAGTCTGACACTCTAACCACACTGGCTTTATAGGACATCATCTCAGTACAGTGGTACCTCAGGTTACATATGCTTCAGGTTACATACACTTCAGGTTACAGACCCCGCTAACCCAGAAATAGTACCTCGGATTAAGAACTTTTCTTCAGGATGAGAACAGAAATCATGCAGCAGTGGGAGGCCCCATTAGCTATAGTGGTGCTTCAGGTTAAGAACAGTTTCAGGTTAAGAATGGACATCTGGAACGAATTAAGTACCGTATTTTTCGGCCTATAGGACGCACTTTTTCCCCTCCAAAAATGAAGGGGAAATGTGTGTGCGTCCTATGGGGCGAATGCAGGCTTTCGCTGAAGCCTGGAGAGCGAGAGGGTCGGTGCGCACGACCCTCTTGCTCTCCAGGCTTCAGGAAGCTATCCGCAAGCCGTGGGAGAGCTGCGCGAAGTCGCGTAGCTCTCCCACCTCTTGCGGAGAGCTGCCTGCACCCAGAAGCCTGGGACACGCTGAGCTCAGCATGCCCCAGGCTTTGAGCCACGGCTTGCGGATAGCAGCCTGTTCTGGGGGCTGGGGTCGGGGGAAGCTCAGGCTTCCCCCGCCCCAGAACCGCGACTGGGGGGGGGGGGGAATAAATTTTTTTTCTTTATTTCCCCCCAAAAAAACTAGGTGCACCCTATGGGCCCGTGCACCCTATGGGGCGAAAAATATGGTACATAACCAGAGATACCACTGTAATCCTAACAACAATCTTGCAGGGTGGGCCAGAATTATTTCTTGTCCCCTGTCTTGTAGCAGATAGTAGACAGAGGGATCTTACTCTCTTAAGACAAAGTGAAATGAATTCATAGGAGACGCAGGGTTTGAACCAAAGCTCTGAGAAGCTGAAGTCTTTCTAAGCATCATGGCAGAGTGAGGGTTTGAACCCTGGTCTCTCAGGTCATGATCTAACACTCTAACCACTAGGGCACACTGTCTGACTTTGAGAACTGTATGTGTCTTTCCATAGGTCAAAGTGTGGATCTACCCAGAGGGTACCAGGAACGGGAATGGGGAGTTGCTGCCGTTCAAGAAGGGAGCTTTTCATCTTGCCATTCAGACACAGGTAACCAACGGATTTGTTCATGCAAAGCATGCGCAGTGGTTAGAGACCCCGCCCCATCTTTACTCAGCATTTCGTACTTGTTTAAGGGGTGGTTACAAGCAAACGGAGGCTCATCTCATGATTTGCTTGTGTTTAGTATTTACACACTTTCCCATTAATCATTAGTTTACCACACTTTAAAGATAAAGGTAAAGGACCCCTGACAGTTAAGTCCAGTCACGGATGACTCTGGGGTTGTGGTGCTCATCTTGCTTTACTGGCCGAGGGAGCCGACGTTTGTCCGCAATCAGTTTTTCCGGGTCATGTGGCATCATGACTAAGCTGCTTCTGGCGCAACGGAACACCGAAACCAGAGCAGTGCATGGAAACGCCGTTTACCTTTCCGCCGGAGTGGTACCTATTTATCTACTTTGGCCTTTTGACGTGCTTTTGAACTGCTAGGTTGACAGGAGTTGGGACCGAGCAACGTGAGCTCACCCCGTCGTGGGGATTTGAACCACCAACCTTCCAATCAGCAAGCCCTAGGCTCAGTGGTTTAGATCACAGTGCCACCCTTAAACCCCCTTTCATTGCATGAAATTTGAAAGGCAATGGAAGAGTGTGCCTTTGTGGGTGAAGTCAAACCTTTGGAGGGTTACAGTGCCAGCTGTGGCTGTAGAGACCGATGCAGGAGAGACATGTTTTGTTGCAGCTGGGGCAGTCGAAGGTGCTTGGTTGTTATGCTGCAGGTGCAGTGTGGCATTTCTTCTCTGTGGTCATCCCAGCGGTCATTTCTCCTCTGCTGGTCACTGGTATGGACGCACAGTTTGTCTGTTTCTAGGCACTGCTGTCATCTGCATGGGATTCCCACACGGCGGGATTAATGCTGCCAGCCTTCATGCCATGTTTGCAGACATCTTTGTAATGTGGAGTTGGTCTGCCTGCAAGCCTGGTTCCTGAAGCCAGCTCCCCAAGAGAGCATGCTTTTGGGGATCCCCAGAGACGTGCATGAACCAAATGTCCCAGTACATGCAGTGGAATCACCCCCGTGAAATAGTGACAGACAGAGGCCAGCCCATTATATGAAGCCCAAAAGAAGGTCCTGAGTGCAGCAGTCCTCCTCTGTTGTTATTCCTCAGCAACAGAGGTAGACTGCCTCTGAGCATGGAGGCTCCATTTTCAGCTATCATGCTTCCTGCAGTTGGATCAGGCCAATAGCTTATCTCATCCAGCATCCTATTCTCAGAGTGGCCAACCAGATGGCTATATGGGAAACACACAAGTAGGACAAGCAACAACAACTCACACCTCCATCAGTTTCCAGTGACTGTTATTCAGAAGCATTGCTGCCCCCAGCTGTGGAAGTGAAGCATAGCCTTTATGGCTTCTAGCGCCCTTCCATAGCCGTCTCCTCCGTTCATTTGTCTAATCCTGTCTTAAAGGCATCTGTGCTGATGACATTGCTGCCACTTCCATACACTTCCATAGTGTAACTGCGCTTTGTGAAGATGTACTTTCTTTTCTCATTCAGTTTTATTGGATGTTCTGCCATTCGGAGGGAGTGAGGAATAGCTTTTCTCTATCCACTTTCTCCACACCAGGCATCATTTTGTAAACTTCTATCATGTCGCCTCTTACTTGCTTTTAATTGCACTGCTGTTGCATCAGTATCACCTTGCAGAAGATGCCCATGCCAAAATCTGCGAACCCAGAGGGATCCTAGGGCCAAAAGTGGGGTATAAATCCTTTTTTAATATGCATGCAGTAGTAACAATAGCAGATCTCTTTGAGGTCAGTTGCTAACCATCCTCCATGCCTTCTCTTGTCTCCAGGTCCCAGTAATTCCTGTGGTGTATTCCTCCTTCTTATCATTTTACAATTCGGAGAAGAATCTCTTTACATCAGGTATGGTAGTGGCTGGTCTGCAAACTGTCCTCTTCCCAGACCCTGTGCATTATTTTTAAAAGGATAGGTCTGCCTGGTGGTCTGGACCCTTGCACAAACTAGCCAATATTCCAACGCCCTCTCAGGGTTCATTCAGGGGGGTTGCTGTCACTGGAGGCTGCCCCATTGACAGGGACTTCTTGGTGTTGGCTCCCCGTTTTGTGTAATGCCCTCTCTGGCAAGGTATGTCTGTATCTCTCACTACTGATTTCCAGGAATAATGTTTAAACATTCCCAGTTATCCAGACACTTGATGGCGTTTTTTAGTGTGGCAGCACCTGCACGTTGGAACTCCCTGCCTATTGACATCAGACAGACACCTTTGTAGTACTCTTTTTGGCACCTGCTAAAAACATTTTGATTAGACAAGCTTGCCCTGATGTTTAGAAAGTTGATGCCACTTTTAAGCTGGTTTTAGTGTATTGTTATCTTAACTTTTCGGAAGTCTTAAATTGTTGTTTTTTTCTTATCGATAATTTAGTTATTTTATCTTTTTTACAACCTCTTTGTTTTTTGTTTGTTTTTTTACAGTCAAGCGATGTATAAATTTGACAAAATAAATACATAAATGATTTGTTTACCCTCACCAGGCAAAATCCAGGTCGAAGTCTTGCCCCCCATCCCAACCCAGGGTCTGACTGCCATGGACGTTGATGACCTCACCAACAGATGTTACAGCAGCATGAGGGCGACCTTCCTCAGGCTGTCGGGGAGGCCCAGTGAAGTCAACGGAGAGGCATCCAGCCTTGCACAGTGACAACTTTTTGAAGGCCCCAGTGCAAAAGATGCACACCTTTCGAAACGACCTGTTGCCAAAAATGAAACTTTGTGGTGATTCTTCTTTGCTTAGGATGGAGGGGGAAAGTTTGCAAACTCTTCCTCAAAGTCCTAGGGAAAGGGAGATGGGGAAGGGAACGCCTCTGCGTATATCTATCATTATCATTCCTGTTCTCGTCTTCGGCTTCCCTTCCCCAGACCAGCCACCACCAACGCACAGATTAAACTCTCCAACTTGTTGTTGTGACCCTTCGGAGTTTTGGGGGAAAGCCCCTTTGACTGTCCAAAATCCAGACAGAAATGTGTTCATTTTTCTCTCTCTCTCTCCTCTGCTTACTTGAAAGGGCTTGGATCTCACCTGTTCAACCATTCCCTATGTTCTAGGGTTATTGTTCCTTCAGCCATGCCCCATCTCCATGGGGCTCTATGGGGCTCTAGGTCCCGTCCCCCCTTCCCTTTGGAAGTTGAGAACAGTGTTAACAACTTTGCCTCAAGTTTGCATAACTGGACAGGGAATTATGAAATGATGTCTCTCAGCACTGTGGAGGTCTTTCACTGCTTGGGGTATGTGTTTTCCACACACACATTCCTTAGACACGCAGTGTCTCCCTTCCTAAATATCAGTGCAATTCCAACAGTCTGGGGCCCACTTCTCATTGGGTGGGAGCAATGTCCCGAAATGGGTTTCTGTACAGAAACAAGTAGTAATAACGGGAGGTGCTGGCTTTTTATCATTTTAATCATACGTTCTTTAGGGGATTTGGGTGCAGAGTTCCAGGATGGGTTGGAGGGGGAACCCCACCGAGGACGGTCTCTGTGGAACTCCAAGGATGGAGGGTCTCCATTGGAGCTGCAAAAACGGGCGACCTTAGCTTGTCCTTTTGTGTTGGTTCTCTGTTTTATGTTGTGGGTGGAGGGGAATGTCTCTGGGAAAGGGGTATTGGAGATGGGAGAGCTTTGGGCTTCAAATACCAGAGTTTCTGTTAACTTGGAAAGTCATCCTTGCTTTTTAACAGGGTTGGGGGAATCTAGATGTTGTCGGATTTCCATCTGCTCTAACCACAGTGATGGATGCTGGGAATTGTAGACTCGTCAACATCTGGACACCTACAGATGTTAGCCTTCCATGAGGTCAGGCCAAAGGCCCATCATTACGATGGGAAGCAAGTGACATCTACCCATCTGTTGGGAGCTGCGGACGTCAAATGGATGTACGTGTCAGGGGAGTTTGGTAGCCAGAATGAAGCTCAAACTCACTCAAGAGCAGGGTAGCATTTTCTTAAACATTTGGCTAAGTTCCCTGCACTACCTGCCTTCTTTTGTTTAAAGGAAGGGAAACACTCCCAGTAAGTTGCAATTGCAGGTGGATCCTGCAAAAATCTCGCAGTTGCATTTTGCTTCAGGGGTGTGATCCCACAGCCAGCTTCTGCTGGCCAGGATCTTGTGATCTTGTGTAGGGTGATACTTCCAAAGGATTTGTTCCATTCTGTTTTAAGGGCACAATCTGGGCATGCTCCACTATGCAGGTAGCTAACCCTGCTCGCCCACCAGAGGTTCTTGGGGCTTCCCATCAGCCAGCATGACCAGTGGTCAAAGACAACAATGATGGGAGTTCCACTCCAGCAAAATCTGGAGGGCCACAGGTGTTATTCGGCACTTCTTTCATACATAAGAAATGCCCGTGAACTAGACTTGTTGGTGTTCTTTGGGGAGGTGGACTTGTCACGCGAGTGTGTCCCTCTGGCCTGAGTTCGTGGCCTGCTTAGTTCACCATCTCTGGGCACAAATCATCAGTTTGGGTGTCATCATAGGGGACAGGTGTGTGGTGAACTGGACTGGCTCGTCAGATGGGCAGGGACTGCTCAAGGTCATGCTGTTTTAATGTTCTTAGACGGCAAGTTGGGGAATTTTTGGCCACTGTTTTTGTTGAAAGGGCTGTGTGTGCGCAGATCCGCTCTGATTCCTAAAAGACCAGCTGCTCTTCAAGAGTGCCTGTAATAGGTGCGTCTTCTTGGAGCAGATGTATTTTCTCCAAATGAAAAAATAAAATAAAATCATATTGTTAATAGCTATAGGATTTGAGAAACTGCAAAATCTCCCCAAGCACTTGGGTGCTTCTCTTTCAACTGGGGGGAAAAAACCCAAAGCATTAAGTGTGGGGGACAAGATCTGTAGACAGGTTGGCAGTGGGGGAGGGCGACTCCTGTTAACATAGTGACTGGTGGAGGACTTCCTTCTGCACCATGATGGGGGGCAGCCTGTGCCAACCTCCATGTTTCAGACTTCAAACACTTATTATCATCATCTCTGAAACTTGGCGACCTTGACTGAGAGCTGATGGGAGATGGCATCCCAACACCATCCTGAGGGTACCCACCCCCATCCAGGGGTACCCTTCTCTATTTGGGTGTCATCAACCAGGACACAGTACCACCCTCCCACCCAAATACAACCCTGGGAATAATAATGGATTTTTGCTTAAAAGAAGGCACACACACACTTTCCGAAGTTCTTTGTGTAAAGGGTGTCCTCAGCATGGACTTGAAGGGCCATCAGCAGGTCCTGATCCACGCTCAACCCTCTCTTCAGAGCAAGTGGGGCTTATCTCAGTTGCCCTCTTGTTCCACATCTAAGGCAGGAATGCACTCAGGGAAAATAAGCCCATAGGCCCTTGAGCAGAGCTGCCCCCTCACTCCAAGAACGGAAGGAGGCTTGAAAGCCAAATTACTTCTGGGGTGTGTTTGTTTTACAAGACTTGCTCTAGTTTTACAAACATGTTTGCACAAAGGCAAAAGCGTCCAGCTCCAGGCAAAGTTTCTGTCTGGCCTGCTTTTTTGGCTCTCGGTCCCAAGTGACAATTTTGTTTCCAAGCCACAAATAGGATGTGGCCATGGTCTCTCTCTTGCTTAGCAGCAGGTGAGCGCTGGAGTCTTCATCTCCGTGGCTGGGCATGGGCAGGGCAGTGTGGCACAGGGCACCCAGTTGCTGAAACTGCAAAACCCAGCAGATTCTCTGCAGCCTGCCTGCCTTTCAAAACAGCTGTGCCAGTGTCCACCAAGTTTGATTAATAACCCCACTCTGGAGGAATAGGGAAAACAGGGATCAGAGTAAGGCAGCCTGCTTCCACCTGCCTGCACCTTCCAGGTGTTGCTGGACTCTCAGCCCCCATCACCCTCTCTGGCTATGCCCATGGGACCAACGGCACTTGGGAGTTCAACTCTGATATTCCAGAGGGTGCCAAGTTGGGGAAGGCTGCAAGTAAGTCACACCCCTTGAAAGCACTTTTGGGTGGGAGGAAATAAAGGGATGTATCCAGCATTAGTCCTATGCAGAGTAGACCAACTGAACAAACTTGATTTTCCATGGCTGTAGTTGGATAAAGCCTAGAAGTTTTCTCTGTTTCGTTAGGAGTGCGAGGTAAGATTAAAGACACAGACACCCCCCCCCCCCCAAACTTGGGCAGCTGAGGTGCTTTGGCACAGATGATGCAGTCCGCAAACTGGTACCCTTCAGATGCTGTTTGTTTCCCCAACTCCCATGAGCCCTTCCCAGACTCCCATGGCAAATGTTCTGCAGTGGTGATTGGAGTTGCTGTTGAACACCTGGAGGGTACCATGTTGATGAGCAGCTGATGGGGCCAAACCTTCATAGTCCATTCTGAGGGCTTCCTAGCCATGGGTCAGAGTGGTTTTCTATCTTCCCCACTGCTTTTCCACGGAAAACCCACTCTATACTAGCTTCTATAGGAAATAACCATAAAGGTGTTGTCCTTTCCAGTAGCTCTTGATAAGTTGTCCACACTCTATATAAACTACTTATACAGTTGTGCCTTGGTTGACAGAACGCCTTACAGCTCAAACGTTTTGGCTCCTGAACACCGCAAACCCAGAAGTGAGTGTTCCGGTTTGCAAACGTTCTTTGGAACCCGAACGTCCGACGGGGCTTCCACGGCTTCCGATTGAGCGCAGGAAGCTCCTGCAGCCAATCGGAATCCTCATCTTGGTTTTTGAACATTTTCAGAAGTTGAACAGACTTCCGGAACAGATTCAGTTCATCAACCAAGGTACAACTGTACCATGATTCAAAAAGTCAAAGAAAACCAAATTGCTGTTTGCTGCATAAGGAGTGGGTTTTACAGGGAGAAAGTGGCAAGACAAATGAAAGTGTGGGTCAGACCCATGTGTCAGGAATTGGCCAGCGATGGGGGGCTGCCACCCTCTGGCCACTTGTGTTAGGAAGACAGGATTAGGGACTAGCTGCTTGTTCCAGGCCAAACTGTTCCACTTCCAGGCTAAGGATATTTTTTCCAGTGATCATTTTGGGGGGTGTTAATGGGGACCTCCTTGGACTGTGCAATCTGGGACACTGTGTTTGACCCTGGCTGCAGGAATGGGGCGGCGTTCATGCACATCCTCTACATGGGGGGCAGGGAGAGAAAGAAATGCCTCTAGCAATCAGTGGCTGCATGCTGTTGGTGTTTGACGTTTTGAGGGGGGAAAATGTGTGGTCTGATTTTTATAAAGCACAATTTATTTAAAGAGAAGTGTCTCTGATGTGGTGTGGTTCATTTTGCAGAAAGAGCTTTGCTGTTTGGGGCAGCGGGAAGAGGTCTCAAATGCTCCCTTAGTGTTTGAACAATTAGGCTGGATGTTCCCCACCCAGCAATGTATTTAATGGTTCGAGAAGAAATGATTGGCCTTAAAACGGTATGACTTTGAAATTTCATACTAGGATTATCACATCTATCCAACAGAGCCTTATTCCACCTTCCCCCACCCCCAAAATTTGCAGATATATTGCCACTGAATGGGGAGGCTCTATGAAGTTCTAAAATCCTCTACTCTTGAGGCCTGTGTTTATTTATTTAATAAAATTTATATACCGCTTGATTGTGTAAGAAAACAAAAACAATCCTCAAAGCGGTTCACTAGAAAGGTAAAATAATAAAATTATCAAGACGAAAAATTAGCAACAATAATTTAAGTCCTTTGAAAAGTTAAAATAACAATAGATTTTAAAAAAACAAACTGGTACCTGTATAGCCTGTATAAAAAGGTAAAGGTAAAAGTACCCCTGACCGTACGGGCCAGTCGTGTCCGACTCTAGGGTTGTGCGCCCATCTCACTTAAGAGGCCGGGGGCCAGCGCTGTCCACAGACACTTCCGGGTCACGTGGCCAGCGTGATGAAGCTGCTCTGGCGAGCCGGCACCAGCGCAGCACACGGAAACACCATTTACCTTCCCGCTATAAAGCGGTACCTATTTATCTACTTGCACTTAGGGGTGCTTTCGAACTGCTAGGTGGGCAGGAGCTGGGACTGAAAGACGGGAGCTCACACCGCCGTGGGGATTCGAACTGCCAACCATGCGATCAGCAAACCCTAGGCGCTGAGGTTTTACCCACAGCGCCACCCGCGTCCCTATATGTATAGGCATTGTTTAGGCTTGTCTAAATGTTTCAAAGGGCACCCATGGGGTGTCAATAGGGAGTTCCCAATGCAGGCACTCATTATCAAATATGAGTGGGTGTGTATACAGCCACTAAATTGAATCAGAGGCTCTATTGATTTCTTAAAATCATCTAATTGGAGCCCTGAATGTTGGTAACAGCCATCACCATTTCTGGCAGTAAATTCCCCCAATACGATTACTTGTCATCTGAGGAGAGGTCACACCGGTGACCCTATTTCTGCACATGGGTGCTATGCCACCCTCTTCTCCTGAAGCCTATTATTGCAACCTTTTCCCAAAGAATAGCATTTAACTCTCTTTGTGTGTGTGTCTTTTATTGGAGAGAAAAAACAACTTATTTCCAAAAGGAAAATAATAATAATATTGCATCAGGTGTCGACTGGTGCTGAGCCTTTTTGCAGAAGAATGAGTAAATTGTACCATTAAGTTCTCTCTAGACAATTATTTTCAAAATAGGAAGATTTTGAACATGCTTATGGTGGCAGAAGAAAACAGGAGGCATGGCTCAGAGTTGGGTGGAACCTGCAGCTCTCCAGAACATAAGTATTGTAGAGCTGAAAAGTTGGAAGGGCTCCCAAGGATCATCTAATTCTAACCCAATGCAGGAATCACAGCTAAGATGCCACTGGACTCTTGTGAGGATGCTGAACTAGATGGGCCACTGGCCTGATTATGTTGCCAGACGCTTAACTCCCGTCAGCCACCCACCCACCCCAGCTGGCATGGCTCAAGGGCTAGGAATGATGGGAGTTGTAGTCCCAAAGGTATCAGGTTTGAGCAAAGCTGCTTTAAGATAACACAGCCTTCATCCTCTCTTCTCCTTCCACCAACCAAAAAACAAACAAACCGGGTAGTTTACTGAGCTAAAAAGGCCAATGTTCTAACTTCTTTTGTTGCTACTTGAGTCCTTTATACAAAACAATGAGGTCTAGAATCTTGCTTAATTTTCAAGGAAAGAACTGAAACCCTGGATAGCCGCTGCTGCCAGTATAGACAATACTGAGCCAGATGGACCAAGGGTCTGACTCAGTATAAGGCAGCTTCCTATGTACCACATTTGGGGATGAGGGTTGCAAGCTCCTCTATTACCAGAAGCTGCAGCTTGCTTAATTTTCAGGACGCCAATAAGAGTTCCTTTCTAGCTGGCATCCTGTGTTTCTTTATCGCCTGATGGCTTCACTTTGCTTCTTTAGTCCACAAAGTTATTCGCTGCTGTACAGATGCATATTTTGGTGACACAGAAGAGGCTAGGAGTCCTGCTCCATTTGAATCTTCTGTTGTCTTCCTTAACGTTCATTTTTGCAAGAACCTGCAAGGCAGAGAGAGAGAGAAGTGATCAAAGCCTTCAAAATGATATTCCCATCTGTTTGAAATCCAACAAGATGTTGTCCCCCATCCCTGCCAGCTTTTATTGTAGTATTATTATTATTATTAATACCCAGCCTACTTCCAGGATTCAAGGCAGCTAAATCAACAAACAAATCAATACACATAAAAATATAAAAAAGTATAGAAGATTATTGTTAAATACGAATTAAACTCTTAATAGAACTAAAACAATATAAAAGCAGATATATTAAAAGACAAAATAATAAAAACATGAGTGGGGATTTGAACCCTAGTCTACAAGCTCCTAGTCCTCATTTAATCCCCACAACAACCCTGTGAGGTAGGTTCGTTTCAGAGGCAGTGAATGGCTCCCAAGGTCACACCCAGTGAGCTTCAGGGCCAAGTTGGGGGGGGATTCAAACCATGGTCTCTCCTTGATCCCTAGTCCGACACTCTTAACCACTGGCTCTCCCAGGTTGTATCACCTTAGAAGGGGTGTAATTATCAAGAATAGGCACTGAACTTCTGAATTTGCCACTACGCTCCTGTGTGTTTCCCATTTCCCAGCATTTGTTGAAAGGGGAATAAACAGGGTTAACGAAAGGGAGGCTTGTGCAGTCCCACCCCCCCCCCCACTAGCACACACTTTATTGCCACTTACAAATCTCCAGCCGCTCCTCCAGGAAAGAGATCTGCTCACTGAGAGAGTCGATTCTGTCCAGCTTCTGCAGAGAGTGCACCAGGAGGGTGATGGGGTCAGCAGGGGTCCCCTCCAACCCTGGTACCTCCACTTTGAGGAATGGCGCTAGCGTGAGCTGAAATTTCTACCCAGAGACGTTTGGCAGGCCGGGGGGGGGGGGAGTGGTGGAAGAGAAACAGGTAAACCTTTAGTGAGTAGGTGAGCAACAGGTATCTACCCACAAAGACCAGGTGTGACCCCAGCTGCCGCTTTTGATTAAAAAAAGAAGAGGAACCATTGCTGCCATGGTTAACTAAGGCATAACTACAGAAGGAAAACCACCCATGGAGAGGTTCATAATCAAGACCAGCCAACAAGCCACTCAAAACCCCCACACCAGGAACCCTTCTCTCACCCACCCCAGCATCTGTTAAATGTAAGAACATGAGATGAGCCTGGCTGCCGGATCAGGCCAAAGTGGGTCCATCTAGTCCAGCATTCTGTCCTCACAGTGGCCTCACCAGCAGCCCTGATGGGAAAAAGTCCCCAAAAGCAATAGCAATTCTCCCCGCCTGTGGTTTCCAGCAACTAGTACTTGCAGGTAGACTGCCCCTGGGCATGGATGTTCTACCACGACAATAGTAAATTACTTGCAAAGGGCCAGGAGCCAACCACCTGTTCCCCACCCTTGCAGAGGGACCCTCTTTCCACCCACCAAGAACTAGCAGAGAAGACTCACTTCCTCCAGAGCGGCCATCCTGGTCTTCAGCTGCCGAACTTCATCCTCCACCATCAGGTTGGTGGTCCTAGCTGCACAGGTTTCACGGCAAAGAGGGAGAAAAAAAATACAAGTAAGACAGTGGTTCCTTGAACAAAAGAAATTGAAGATTCAATTGATCTGGTATTCATAGCTGGACTGTCCCTGGGCATGGAAGTTCTGCGGTAACAGTAGATCTGGCCAAAGGGGGCTCATCTGGTCTAGCCACCTGTTCTCACAGTGGCCAACCAGGTGCCCAGAGCAGGACCTGAGCATGAGTGTGCTGCCCACCTGCAATTCCATAATCTGCACAGCAAGGGTTTCCATTGACCAGTCCTGCCCAGGCAGAAGGACATCTCTGTAGGCCACGGGTGGCAGCATGGGGTCGTTCCCACAGCACTGGGGATGTCCTCTGCAGCACACCTGAGAATCTGAAGACGATGCGTTGGTCCTCTCACGTCCTTCTGGCGCAGGTGCCGGGCTTCCGCGCATTATTACTCACGGTACGAGTTTGAAGTGGCACAGCGCGTACCAAAAGTAATAATGGGCGGCAGTCAGCCTTGGCTCGGGGTGCTTCTTTTCTTCCAGGAGGCTAGAGGGCAATGGAGGCAAACAGACTATGGGGGAAGCAGCTCCTTCAGCCCACTGGAGCTCAGACTGGGCACTTAAGAGGAGTTATGGCAAGGCCACACACGGATGTTATGCAGAACAGGTAGGCAAAGGTGACGAAGAGCACAAGGGCTGCCCCAAAGCACAACTTATGGATGATAGGAGAAAGCTGGTTTTCTCCTAGTTAACAGTGTGGTGCAGCAGCAGCAGCAAAAGAAAAGGTAGTGCAATTTGAATGCCTCTGATAACAAAGGGCAGAAAATGAGATGAGCCTGCAGGATCAGGCCAATGGCCCATCTAGTCCAGCATCCTGCTCTCACAGGGGCCAACCAGACGCCCCAATGGGAAGCCCACAAGCAGGATCAGAGCACAAATACTGGTGTGAATGGATCAATGTCCTCCAAAGGCCTGGGTGATATCCAGTGAAGCTTGAATGTTGGAAGATTCAAGATAAAAAGAAGGACTTCATCATGCAGCACAGAGTTAAGCTAGGGAACCGACTGCCACAAGAGGAAGCGGTGGCCCATCCAGTTCAGCATCTTGCTCTCCCGGGGCTTTTCTACACTTCCCCTTGTCTCACTGCTTTCCCCTGGGGAAATGCACTGTTTACTGCTGAATCGGAACCAATGCCAATCAGTTTTTTCTGCAGTTTGATTTTGTTCCGATTCAGTGGTAAACAAAAGTTTTCCCTGGGGGGAAAGCAGCAGGGCAAACAAAAAAACCCACTCAGACCCATGCTTTCTAGGCACAGGACAAGTGGAAGTGTGGACAAACCCACAATGGTCTAATGATGGCTGACTGGGAACAGTTATGGACCACAGGTATGAAGTTTACGGCATGTAATGCCTTAAGAGAGAATATTATGAAAATGATATACAGGTGGTACATGACACCAGTCAAGCTTGCAAAAATCTATCATTTGCCCGATAATAAATGTTGGAAATGTAAAGAAACTGAAGGCACATTCTTTCACCTTTGGTGGACGTGCCCAAGGATTAAGGGGGGAAAAAAGACAAACCCACAATGGTCACCCAGAGGTGCCCATGGGAAGAAGACCCCAAACAGGACCTGAGCACAATAGCAACTTTCCCCTCCTGTGACTTCCAGCAACTGGGATTCAAAAACACTACTGCCTCTGACCATGAGGGCAGAGATTAGCCAACCTGGCTAGTACCGACTGACAGTCCTCTCATCCGTGAAATTAGTTTAATCCTCATTTAAAGCCATCCGAGTTGGTGGCCGTCTCCTGCAGAAGTGAGTTCCACAGTTTTACTTATGCACTATTTAGAATAATAATGGCTGAAATGCAAGGCAAACTACAAGGCCACCCCAAGAGTTCGCCTAGTCTACGTTGGCCTTACCTGGGCTCACGGCATCCGTGGGCACCCCCAGAGCCTCACAGGTCCTTCCATCCGCACCGAGTTCGTAACCTTGCTGGCAGGTGCAGCGGTAACTCCCAACCACATTGTGACAGGTATGGCTGCACCCGTGTCTCCCTCCAGCACATTCATCCACATCTGAAACCACAAAAGGAATTGTGTCCTAAAGGATGGGTCTTAGTCCAGCCACAAGAGCAAAGTCACAAAGCCCCAAACTATATACCGCTTGATTGCGGGGGTTGTACTAAGTGACCCTTGGGGTCCCTTCCAACCCTACAATTATCCAGTACTACGATCTCAGCCAGCTTCCCTTGCATGTAGCTGTTTTCACCACCATCAGAGCAGATACAAGTATGTTTCTCGTGGCAATCATAGAATGATTTTAGTTGTAAACTATTTTTGTATGTTTCTAACTGGGGGTGAAGGGCCAGGCTTATTCAATAAATAAACAAATTCAATCTTTTTTTAAAAAACTGCTTTTGTTTTCTTTTTTTGCAAGGGAAGTTGAGATTGTGACCACCAGAGACCTGCACCCGCAAATTCATTCTGAGCACCCATGGAAGGCAGCCCTGATGTATTTAGATAGACAGATAGAAAGGGAGAGAAAATGGTTAGAAAGGTCCTCAAGGACCAATTTTTGGGGGGCAGGAAGTGGCCTTTACCTTTCTGGCAACTCCTTCCGCTCCATCCTGAAGGGCAAGAACACTTGTTAGGGGACAGACACTTCCCACCATTCTGGCAAGGGGGGCGGCAGATTGCTGGAAGAGAAGGCCATGGTTAAAACAGGGGTGTGTGGGAAGGAAGATCCTTAAACGTGGCCCAGGAAAATGTTTCTGCTTTCAAACTGTGTGTGTTGCTTCTCAAAATCAATTAGTAATATAATGACTGGGTAAGAGGCCACAGTGGCCTGTTGAACAGAATCCCTTGAGAGGTTGTGGACTCTCCTTCATTGGAGGTTTTTAATCAGAGGCTGGGCATCTGTCTGTCAGGGAAGCTGTAGCTGTGATTCCTGCCTTGCAGGGGGTTGGACTAGACGACCCTTGGGGTCCTTCAAACCGTACAGTTCTATGATTCTATGAACACTGGACCTGAGACAGACCCCCCCAACTTGGCCCTGAAGCTCAGTGGGTGTAACACAAGGAGGCAGTCACTGCCTCTCTGCCTGACCTACCTCACAGGGTTGTTGTGGGGATTAAACAAGGAGGGAGAGAACCAGGCAGGCCACCTTGAGCTCCTTGGGAGTAAAAAGGTGGGGTTTGAGTGCAACAAATAAACAGATACTGGCAAATGGTGGTGTCCCCACTGCTCACTTGCAGCCCGAGCAAATGGGCATCCATTCTTTATATACAAAGCAGCATACATAATTTCACCTGACTAATTTGCACTGGTGGCAAATCCGCAGACCTCCTAAATGGTTCTTTTTTCTGAGTTCAGAGCCCAACACCCCAAACCCCACAGATAATGATAACATCAAAGTAAGCTAATTAGCTTATATCAAAGCAACTGAATATAAACATATATAAGCTCATTGCTGCATCCACTACCAATTAATTGTGGGGTTATCTTGACTCCCAAGATGGTATTGTCCCTTGCATAGGGAAGATGGCAAAATGCTGCTGGGTGACTGAGAGAAGGCGGAACTGTTCAACCCCTACTTTGCCTCTGTCTTCACCCAAAAGGAAATCAGTGTCCAATCTAGCGATAACAGAATAGAAGATGCAACAAGGGAACTGCAGCCTAAGATAGGAGAAGAGGTGATAAGGGAATGCCTAGTTAATTTAAATGAATTCAAATCTCGACATCCTGATGAGCTAAACTCAAGGGTACTAAACAGGTTGCAGATGTAATCTCAGAGCCTCAGATGATTCCTCATCATCCTTGGGAAAAGTGACAAGAGGAATGCCACAGGGTTCTGTTCTGGGCCCGTTGCTGTTAAACATCTTTATAGATGACTAGGTGCAGACGGCAAACTGGGAGGGGTAGCTAATGCCACAGAAGACAGAATTGGAATTCAAGATTACCTTGACGGATCCGAAAACTAGTCCAAAACTAACAAAATGAATTTCAATAGGGACAAATGTAAGGTTCTACACTTTGGCAGGAAGAACTAGCTACATAAATATAAAATGGGGGACACCTAGCTTGCCAGTAGTACATATGAAAACTATCTAGGGGAATTAGTGGACCACAATCTTCATGTGAGTCAATTGGGTGATGCAGCAACAAAAAGACCTAATGCAATTCTAGGCTGCACCAACGAAGTCTAGTATCCTGATCAAGGGAAGTCATAGTTCCACTCTATTCTGCCTAGGTCAGACACCACCAGGAGTCCTGCGTCCCGTTCTGGGTGCCACAATTCAAGGATATTGGCAAGTTGGAACATGGGCAGAGGAGGGTGACCAAGATGATCAAGGGTCTGGAAACCAAGCCTTATGAGGACTAGTTGAGGGAGATGGGTATGTTTAGTCGGGTAAGAGACGAAGAGGAGATATGATAGCCATCTTCAAATAACTAAAAGGGTGTCCCATGGAAGATGGAGTAGGCTTGTTTTCTCCTGTTCTGGAGGGTAGGACCCAAACCAATGGCTTCAAGTTACAAGCAAGGAGATTCCAACCAAACATTAGGAAAATCTTTCAGTAAGAACTGTTTCACAGTGAAACAGACTCTCTCAGAAGGTGGTGGACTCTTCTTTGTTGGATGTTTTCAAGCATACGCCTGTCACATTTGACCTCGTTGAAATTCCTGCATTGCAGGGGGTTGAACTTTGGGTGCCTTTCCAACTCTACAATTCTATGAGTATATGGTTCTATGATTGGGAAACCAAGCGAAGAATGAATGAATGAATGAGTGAGTGAATGAGAGGCTTACCTATACTGCATCCATGCCCAGGGGCACCATTTGCCCGTCTCCACCCAGGACAGCAGGCATATGTTGGATAGGACTGCTTCCGATAGGCTAGGCGCTGGGCAGTTTTGTAGATGGTTCTGCAAAGAACGCCAAAACACAAAGATTTAGTATTCAGAGCCTGCAAGGCTTTTAAAAAAAGAAATGGCTATTTTTACCATTTCCACGAGAAAAAGGAAACAAAAGCGTTCAAAAGAAAGTAAGACGAACATTTGGATGGCCAGAAGAGGCCCATCCAGCCCAACATCTTGTCCTCACAGTGGCCAACCAGATGCCTCAATGAGAAGCCCCCAAGCATGATTTGAGCACAGGAGCCCTCTCCCCCTCCAGCAGTTGCAAGGAAATGGTATTCAAAAGCACTGCAGCCTCCAACTACGGAGGCAGAGGATTGCCATCACGACTAGTAGCCATCAGCAGCTTCTCTTCTATGAGTTTGTCCAATCCTCTTTTACAGCCATCCAAATTGGTAGCCATTCCTGCCTCCTGCAGGGAGAGAGTCCCACAGTTTAGCTATGTGCCGACTGAGTAAGTCCTTCCTTTCATCTGCTCTGAATCTTCCAGCATTCAACTTCCTTGGATCTCTGCCATTTCCAGTGTTACTTAGAAAGGCAGTAAAACATTTTTATTCTTCTATCCATTTTTTCCCATGCTGTGCTTAATTTGATAAAACTTCCAGCTCTTATTTGCCTTTTTTTAAAAAAAATCAGGGTTTCCCAAACTTGGGTCTCCTGTTGCTTCTGGACTACAGTTCCCATCATCCTTGACCACTGCTCCTGCTAGCTAGGGATGATGGGAGTTGTAGTCCAAAAAAAACAAAACACACAACATCTGGAGACCCAAGTTTGGGAAACCCTGCTCTACACTAAAAAGGCTGAGTATGATTCCATACCTGTACATACTGCAGAGCCTGTATCCCTGGCACAAGGTGAGGTAAGGCTGGTACATAGGTTGGGCATGGGACACGAGGTAGGACACCACCTGGCTCTTCAGCCCCATGGAGCACACTCTGGGCCTGCAATGGAGCAACCAAATACAGACCCCCACATCAGGTTTACAGCAGCACAATACGAGCCCCGCAACACATGCCACATCCTGTCTGTTTTGCACTTGCAAGGATCCATCCTCCAGCGAGGAAGAAATTTGATTTGAGGCAGGGGCCTGTTTTTGGCCTAGCTGTGAAAAACTTCATCCTTTAAGCAAACCTCCCCAGGCATGCAAAAGCTGACGTGTATTTTAATATGCAAACTTGTTTTCAATGTCTGATTTCGCTGGTAGTTTTAGTGCTTTTTTTGTATTTTATGTAACCCACTTAAATGTTTTGATGATTATGCAGTATATAAATCCAGTTAAATAGTTGCATATGTCAGAATCTGATATCTGGCCTCCTACGCACGCATTTACACACACACATGTACATATTTTTAAATTACTTGTGGAGCCTTCCTTAGAAAGGAAAGGAAAAAGGAGGACCAGTGAAATCAAGTCGAAAGCAACACAATATCCCAGCCTTCTTGCAACCTACTAGGCAGTGTGGTGCAGTGGTTAGAGTGTCAGATTAGGATCTGGGAGATCAGAGTTCAAATCCCCAGTTGGCCATGACGCTCCAAGCAAAGCTGCCTTGGAAATGGTGATCCGAAGAGAAAGGACACTTACCCTGGTCTAGAGGAACACTCAGCATTGATCACAGCAAGGATGAAAAGGACCAATGCCAGAAGGCAGCTGATCCTCCTCATTTCCTATCCTCTGCTGGGCCTTTTCTCCCCCACCCCTCCAGTGTAGCAAATACAGGTGTGGGTGGGGTGTGTTTCACAGCAAGGGGCTCTTCAGTGCACACACCTGGAAACCAAAAGAGAGCGAGATGAAGGAATTTGACAGCACTTTGCACGCATGCAGGAGACTACAGCTGAAATGAACAGGGGTTGTGTGTGGTTGTGTGAGAGAGAAAATGTCACACTTGCAACCCCAGCCTCTGAAAGGGAAAGTAGTACGACTCATGCAACACATTGGCGATTAATATACACAGAGCAGTAATTATATATACTTTATCAACCTTCTGAGAAAAATACAAAACATTAAACAAAGCCACAGAGACCTGCAAACTACCTAGCCTAAAATGAACTTATAATGTCTGGTTTCAATAGATTTTTCAAATGCTTAATTCGGTCTTTTAGATAAGTTCATGAAGATACCAACAAAAGGTAAGTTCGGTGTTATTCACAATACCGAGAGATGCTAGTGGAGTTGTAGATACATGTTAATAAAGTTGTAGACAATGAAGCTGTAGATGAAAGGGAAAGGGCGGGTAAGAGGTAAAAAAAGATGCACCTGTCTGTGGGTTTTCAGGGACTCCGTCAAAAGTCAAATAATTGAGCACCTATTTAAATCACCAGAGCCAGCAAGAGGTGACACAGAATCACAGAACTGTAAAGTTGGAAGGGACCCCAGGAGTCACCTAGTACAACTCCCTGCCATGCAGGAATCCCAGCATTTGTAATAAACATGACATGATAATAATAAAAAATAAAACGAATGACAAACTACATGGCAAGTAAAAGGTGGACGGGGAGGGAACACTTTTTCTCCCTTTCCCATAACACTAGAACTTGTGGACATCCAATGAAGTTGAATGTTGGAAGGTTCAGGACAGATAGTTAAACTATGGAACTCCCTCCCACAGGAGACAATGATAGCCACTGACCTGGATGGCTTTTAAAAAGGGATTTGACAAATTCATAGAGGACAAATTCATATTGAAGGCTATTACCACAATGGCCAGGCTCTGCCTTAACAGAGGCAGCAATGCTTCTGAATCCTAGTTGCTGCAAGAGAGGGGAGAGGCCTCTTGTGCTCAAACCCCGCTTGCTGGTTTCCCTTTTGAACACCTCGGGAGCCACTGTGTAGAACAGAGTACAGTGGTACCTCCGGTTAAGAACTTCATTAGTTCCGGAGGTCGAACCTGAAACTGTTCTTACCTGAGGTACCACTTCAGCTAATGGGGCCTCCCGCTGCCGCCGTAGCACGATTTCTGTTCTCATCCTGAAGCAAAGTTCTTAACCCAAGGCACTATTTCTGGGTTAGCGGAGTCTGTAACCTGAAGCATCTGTAACCCGAGGTACCACTGTACTAGAATGGAACCAGCAGGCTCTGCTTATGTTCTTAATTATCTGACAAGGCAGCTTCTTCTTATGTCCCAAGGGGAACTGTCCCATCAGGGCCAGACCTCAACACTTTTAGGGGAAAGTTTGGCAACCCAGGAACAGAGCTGATGGTTCAATCATGAGCACTGTCGTGCTTGCATCCTGCTCACTGTGGGTTTTCCAAGGGGCATCCGCCCGACAACCAGATGCAGGATGGATGAGGCAGGCTCTGGGTCCAATCCAGCAGCCAGACTCCTCTTAATGTAGAGCACAGGGGATTTTTTATCAGCACCTGAGAAAATCTGCAGGAAACTGTTCTGCAGAGTAATTTACACTCCTACATATAAAGCATTATTATTAACTTGGGGAGAACCATGGGAGACAAAATATTACTTAATGGAGTGGTGATAAATAGATAGGTGATAGATGAATTATATGAAATGCAGGAAAGTTTCACCCCCAGCCGTCAGAATTCTCCAGCTTTGTAAAGGAAGAAGCACTAACCCACCCCACCCCAGGCAAATGAAGAGATCTGAACATGGAAATAAACTTTAACTGAAAGATAGATATGCTGAATGCTTTTTAGAAACCAGATGGCTGAAAACACTTTTTGGCATCTCACATTTGCCGCTGTCATTGATCTCCTGGCTTTGCCCGAACCACTGCTGCTGCTGTGGTCGTGCCTCTGGTCCAGAAGTTCAAACCCTGATTTCTGGACATCTGGCTAGCTGGACATCTGGTTAGCAAAGCTGGACCTGGGAACAGCTGCCAGACTAGTTGCCATCACCAAAGAAAGCAGGGGAAAACTCGAGGTTCTTCAAATAATGGGGTGTCCCTATAGCACCCTGCTCCACCCAAGGCATTTGGTGAGAATTTCTGATCAAAATATGCCCATGAGGAATTACTTAAAAGGCCACAGTTGATTAAAACTGTAAATGTAAAATGCATTTAACACACATTTAAAACACACCCATGAATCCTGGAAACTGTGGTTTGTTAAGGGTGCTGGGAATTGAAGCGCTGTGAGGTGAAAACTCACAGAGTGTCCAGGGTTTTTGGGGGGAAGCCATGTGCATCAAATGAATGTTGTAAATGTGATCCTGCACCAGAGAGGGAGAACCTGAAGCGACTGATTCAAACTACAAGAAAAGAGATTCTGACTAAACATACTAAGCATTCCAGCTAAAACTTTCTAAAAGAGCTGTTTGACAGTGGAACAGTCTCCTTTGGAAGGTGGTGGACTCTCCTTCCTTGCATGTTTTAAAACAGAGGCTGGACAGCCATCTGTCACAGATGCTTTAGCTGAGATACTTGCATTTGGAGGAGGTTGGACTAGATGACCCTCAGGGTCCCTTTCATCTCTACAATTCTATGACTGAGTAGCACACAGCATGTTGGGAAATGTCAAATATCCGAGCCAGCCCCCCTTGGGGTCTGGACATTACTAAACATTCATAATGCATAGTTGGCGGTTAAGAGCCAGGAATTAGCAGCGGCTCACTGGAGATGTAAAAATCTCTTCCAATTCATGCCGAAACTGTGTTAACTCTCACAGAACTCCCTTATGTGCATTCCAGGTCCCGTTCCTCCACTCCAAAACAATAAATAAATCCCAGAACACCATCAACTGTGGAGTCATGAAATTATGCTTGCAGGAAGATAAATTCCAGCAGTCAGCCCGACTCAGAGCTAAATACATTCCCACAACATTCCTCTCCATCAGCGCCACTAACTAAATGAGAATGATGCCAGATAATGGGAAACATTCACAAATATCTCCACGTTATAAAGGAACAGTGCTGGTTTCTGAAAATTTGTAAGCAATGTCAATGCAGCACAGCAGCTGTGGTTCTTGAACTATGGGGGGTTGGACTAGATGGCCCTTGGGGGTCCCTTACAACTCTACAATTCTATGACTCTATAGTAAATAGGGCACACTGTGGCTTAACTGCAATCCTAGGTTTCACTTAAAACCAACCTGTTCCTCATATAGGTTGCAATCAACAGGGAGACGCTTGAGAGCTCCACTGCAGAGCTTATGTCCTGTGTTCCAGTCCTACCTCACGTCCAGGTAAGGCTCCCAGCAGCCAGCATCACCCATGGTGAGGAAGGACATTTGAACCACCAGCTCTGCTCCTGTGCTGCTAAACTTTTTCCTAAAAGTGTTGAAGTCTGGCGCTGATGGGACAGTTCCCCTTGGGACCTGCTGTTTTAAATGGGTTTTCGATTTATTTGATTGCCCATTGAGTGAACACTGTTTTTGACCGAGTTCTGGAAAACCCACAGACAGGTGCATCTTTTTACCTGTGATCTGCCCTTCTCCTTCAGAGGCTGAGATTGAAAGTGCGATTCACACACACACACACACACACACACACACACAAAAAAAACCCCAGTTCATTCCAGCTGCTCAACTGTGCTGGAAAATTATCTTCGGTCTCCTACACGCATGCAAAGTGATTCCAAATTCGTTCAGCTCATTTGAACAGGACAGACACCTAGGAGCAGCAGGAATCTCTCAGTTAAATTACTGTAGCTGATAATTACTGGTAGACAATTTCATGGAGCAGTAAGAGGCTATCAACGGCCACAAACCACAATGACTATGGTCTGCCTCCACAGTCAGAGCCAGCAAAGTGAAATCACAGAATCATAGAATTGCGGACTTGTAAGGGACCCCAAGGGTCATATAGTCCAACACCCTGCAATACAGGAATCTTAACTAAATCATCCAAGACAGATGGCCATCCAACCTCTGCTTAAAGGTAAAGGTAAAGGGACCCCTGACCATCAGGTCCAGTCGCGACCAACTCTGGGGTTGCGGCGCTCATCTCGCTTTATTGGTCGAGGGAGCCGGCGTTTGTCCGCAGACAGCTTCCGGGTCATGTGGCCAGCATGACTAAGCTGCTTCTGGCGAACCAGAGCAGCACACAGAAACGCCGTTTACCTTCCCGCCGGAGTGGTACCTATTTATCTACTTGCACTTTGATGTGCTTTCAAACTGCTAGGTTGGCAGGAGCAGGAACCGAGCAACGAGAGCTCACCCCGTCACGGGGATTCAATCCGCCGACCTTCTGATCGGCAAGTCCTAGGCTCTGTGGTTTAACCCACAGCACCACCTGCGTCCCTAACCTCTGCTTAAACACCTCCAATGAAGTCCACAACCTCCGAAGGGAGACCATTCCACTGTAGAACATCTCTTAGAACAGCTCTTGCCTTTAGAAAGTTCTTCCTCGTTTCTTGTAACTTGAAACTGTTGGTTCAAGTCTTACCCTTCAGAGCCGGGGAAAACAAGCTCACTCCATCTTCCATGTGACAGCCCTTTAGAGATTTGAAGATGGCTATCATATCTCCACTCGGTATCCTCTTTTCCAGACTAAGCATGCCCAACTCCCTCAACGGTTCAAGGGATCACATCCCTCCTCCTCCACAACCAATTTGATCTTACTAGCTCTCAACATCAGGCCTCCCTCACAGGACCGTTGTGAGGTCAAAGCAGCATTTTTTAAAAGCATTTAAAGTTTTAAAAAGGTTTAAAGTTTTAAATAGCTTTTAAAAACTTTTTTAAAACTGATAATCTCGTTGTTTTATTCTTTTCATTAACCACTTTGAGGTTGCTGTTCCTTTGCAATACATAAACATATACATATTATTAAATAAGGAATAGATAAAGATTGGGTTTGAAAAACATTATTGGTCAAAACAGGTTGCATCAGCTATCTAAAATATCCTGTGCATTATTATTTTTTAAACACGCATAAATACTTTTCTTTATGCATTTGTTAAAAAATGAAGTTTTTCTACGTTAACGGCAAGTTAAACTTTTTTTACCACCACTAGGTGGGGAGGTCCTCTAATTGTCATACATATACAATATATAAATTTAAAGAGCTTTACACTTTGTGTAAAAGGAGTCTTCTGTGCAACGGGGTGGGTAGAGAAATAACTATTGTTCAAGCGACAGAAGCGAAGGAGATTCTCTCCGGGGGCGGGATTGGAGCCCATTCACAACCCCCCCCCCGGTTCAGTCCTATTGTTTAAGCAACAACTCCTCCAACAAATCTGTGTAGGAGATTCTCCTAAGTTCTGCTGCCTTATCTGCCCTCTTCTCCACCTCTGCAAATTCCGCTTCCCGCGCCACCGAGAGGGACCCTTCGCCGCCCGCTGCAAAATGTTTTGCAAAAGTTGCATTGCACGAGCGAACGAGGCTCAAACAAACAACAGGCACCCACCGCCCCAAACTCCCTCCCTCTTTACTAAAAAATATTGCATTAGCAAAAAGAAAAAAAGAAACCGGATTTTGGAATCTCCCTCTCACACACACAAAACTCCACACAGGTCCCTCTTTCTCCTCCCAAATCCAGCAGCTGATTTAAGTCTCGATTTGCCTCAACCAAAGCGTGCAAACAAGAGAGAAAAACGGGGCGGGGGAGCAACATTAAAAGCCCCCAGCAACGGTCCTTGCAGGCGCTTTTCCGCTTTCCAAAAAATAAATAAATGCTACTCACTTTTCCTGCAGAGGCGCTTTTGCAAACCGGCCGCTTCCTTCCCACCCCCTGAAGAAAGCAAATCTCCCTGCCACCCCGCTTCCTTCTCCTCCTTTTCTTCCCGTTTTTTTTTAAAGTAATATCCAGAATTGCCTTTTAACACACACACACACACAGACAGACAAACACACCATGTCTACCTCGCCTTCTTTGCGCGCTTCTGTCTCTCAGCCAGTCCACTGATCTCAAGGAAAAGATTATCAAGAAAAGATTTGAGCTCTGCAGCATCCTTGGACGGGGCGTGGGGGGAACCGTCCACTTTTTTTTGCAAAGAGGTTGCAGATTGCAAGAAGAAAGGAAGGAATTCTTTCTGCACTGTTCTCTCCCCCCATTAAAGATAAGAAACTTGCCTTCAGAAAACTGTCCCAAGAGGACAGGGCCTCCTCCTTCTCCATAAACTGCCTGAACACGTGTTTGTGTTTTTGAACCAAAAAATGAACAGGGAGGTTACTTCTTCAGGAATCAAGAGAACCAGAAACATAGGTCTGGGTAACAGCAGGTGAGAAAGCTAGTGAAACTGGTCCTGAGTTGCTATCTACAGCCAAATCCTGTCCACTCCCCCCCCCCCCCAGATAAGCTCTTCCTTGTTACAATGGGACTTACTTCCCAAGGGAAAGCTAGCACATTAGGGCTGAGAGCCTACAACGTGTGGACAAGGTACAGTGGTACCTTGGGTTAAGAACTTAATTAACAAAAATCCATTTTGCATTACTTTGGTTTTGGAATGCTTTGGTTTTGGAACAGATGTCCGGAACGCATTAAGTTTGAGAACCAAGGTACCAGTGTAAACAAAACAAAAATTTAAAAGGTATCCATTACAATGGTACCTCAGGTTAAGTACTTAATTCGTTCCAGAGGTCCATTCTTAACCTGAAACCGTTCTTAACCTGGAGCACCACTTTAGCTAGTGGGGCCTCCTGCTGCCGCTGCGCCGCCGCTGCACAATTTCTGTTCTCATCCTGAAGCAAAGTTCTTAACCCGAGGTACTATTTCTGGGTTAGCAGAGTCTGTAACCTCAAGCGTATGTAACTCGAGGTACCACTGTATCAGTTTTGGGCCTTCAGTTGGACATCTGGGAGTGGGGTGCAATTTTGCAGTACATCTTATTTCCCCTTGTTTACAAACAAAGCCCTACTCAAACTTGACCCCATGAAATAAATGGGCCTGTTAGCAATGCCCATTCATTTCAGTTGGTCTACTCTAGATACAACCAGGAGCTTGCATCCCACCCTTTCAACATTTTTAAACATTTGGCAAGCAATGCAATTAAATAATAATTTTGTTATTAAATCAGCGCACCATCGTGACAATATATACCGGTAGCTATTTCTGAAAGCACTTGTGCATGGATCCGTGTGGCGATCACAATGAAAAGCGTCTACACACCAAAAATTACTACTACTATTACTACTACTAATAGTAATAATAAACCGCCCTTCACCTTAAGGCCCCAGGGCCAGTTGCAACAATTAAAATAGTTTTAAACAATTGTCACCAAAATATGTTAGGTCCTAAGCACATTCTTTCCTCTTTCCGAAAAGAATCCTGAAAACTAGTTTGTTGTGGGTGCTAGGAACTGTGGCTGTATGAAAAGTAAAATGTGCTGTAAATATCAAGTGTGTGTATGCAGCACAGAAAATTCAGTATCTGACAACAGATAAGCAATTTGTGGCAGATCATGAGAGACCCTAGTCCTCATGAAACCTTGGAGAGCCGCTCTTGGTCACAGAAAATGTTATTGGGCTAGACAGACAGCTTATGCCTCACAAATTAGAGTCTACATACAGCAGCCTTGCTTGGAACAGAAGAAGAGGCCAATGGCACATTTAGTCAATCATCCTGTTCTCACATTAGTCTAAAGGTTGACTGTAGGAAACAAGCAAGCGGAATTCTAAGACAAGAGCCCTCTCCCCTCCTGTGGTTTCCAGCAACTGGTATTCAGAAGCATTGCTGCCTCCCAATTGTGGAGGCAGAACATAGTCTTTATGGCTAATGGCCATCAATAGCCCTCTCCTCCTCCATGAATTTGCCCAATCCTCTTTTAAAGCCATCCAAGCTGATGGGCATCACTGCCTCCTAAGGGAGTGAGCTCCACAATTTTCTTCTGCGCTGTGTGAAGAAATTATCCCTTTCATCTGTCCTGAACCTTCCCACCTTCAGCTTCATTTGATTTCCCTGGGTGTCACCCTCCATGCTTTCTCCATACCATGCATCATTTTATAAACTGCCATGCCTCTTCCTTGCATTTTCCATAAACCCCAAAGTCTCAAATGAAGCAGCCTTTCCTCTAAGGGTAGTCATTATATCCCCTTGATATTTCGGTTGCCCTTTTCTGAACCTTTTCCAGCTCCACAATATCATTTTAGCCTTGTTTTATTTACTTGGCAAAAGGTTAGGGACTGTATTGCAGCATCTAAAATGACTCACCTGAAGCATCTTGATCCGTCATCTGTCATTAAACCAAAGTGGATTCTCTCCAAAGGGCACTTTGACTTCTTACTGCTGGAGCAAGAGGAAAAAGCACAGTTGTGCATAGTCTAAGAGATGGTTTTGCGGGATGCCTTAATCAGGCATCCATTAATGAGGCGGCTAATGCATGCAATTTGCTCAGATTGCCAACTTTCTGACTGACTCCTGCTCCTGTGTTTGGTTTGGTTTGGTTTGGGTTGGGTTTTTTTACAGCAGCTGAACCACCACCCCACTGCAGACATTAATAGGTGGCAGTGCTTCATTCCAGCTGTGAAAAGAGTCTCTTGCTGGTTTCTGCAGAGCACATTAAAGGCATTAAAGGTTGGGGACCCTGGACTCGAACTCACATCTCCCCTGAGGGGTTGGCCATGCTGTCTCCTGGGCCTGATGGGAGCTGGAGTCCAATAATATATGGGGGTGCAGAAGGCCCCCTTCCCTGATATGCAGGAAAGTATTTCAGCTACCGATACATCCTTTTTGTACCACGGATGTCAAATATTAAAAAATTTAGGAATATGTCAGGAATTCAAAATCTGCCGTAGCATTTTAGAAAGTCAGCCAAGAACATTGGCAGAGCCTTTTCATCTCGCTTACAGGGAAGGCGGATTTGCTCTGCCACTTCCCTCACTCAGGTTCAAAAGAGAGTGGCAGAAGGAACAGTTGTGGGGGACTTGGCATGGGTAGTCTGAGGTTGTCACACCCATTCCCACCCACCATCCTACTCTCTGCTGCTTTGACCAGATGCAAATGAGACGGCCGGCCCCCCTGCCCGCTCCCCTACTGTATCTCATAGTAACATCAAATTTTAGAGCTGAAAAATCATCTAGTCTAACCCCCTGCAGTGCAGGAATCACAGCTAATCTTCACGCTCTGAAAACAGCAAAAAGATGACTGGAAAGAGTCATGCAAGAGTTTCTGCTTGCCATGCAGAAGAACCCCGGTTCCATGCCTGGCATGTCCAGATGAAGCTGGACTCCTGTCCAAAATCCTGGAGAGCCACGGCCAGTCTGTGCAGACAGCACTAAGCTAAAGGAACCCGTGGTCTGACTTTTTCTAAAGTAGCTTCCTGATTTCCAGTTTGTTCAGAACTATGAGGACTAGAATCTTGCTTTATGCCTAGGCCATAGCTCTGTGGTAGACAGCACTGTAATATATCACCTGCACTAGCTTAGTACTGTCTACACTGACTGGCAGAAGCTCTCCAGGATTTTAGGCTGGAGTCTTTTTCCCAGTCATTATGTGAAGAAGCTCAGGATTGACCCCAAGACCTCTACACTACAGTCCTCTTTTTTTTTTAAAGAAAAAAAGTTCTTTTTCCTTTTTTACGCAAAATTTTTATTAAACTTTGAAATATTTCCATACCAATTCCAGCTTTTAAGTTTGTTATACATTTCTCTTTAAACTTTTACTTCCCACCTTTCCTTACATGCTGTTCTTCATCCCATCCCATCCACATAATGCATTCTAATAAACATTTAACCTAAGACACATTCTTCCATTTCAAATATTATCATTTTTCTTCCACTGCTCTCAAAGTTATTTTCCTATCAAGTCAGATCATTGGCATCTCTAGCTCAGCATTGGCAGTAAAACTCTAAGGTTTCCAGACAAGGTACTTTATTTATTCCCAGCCCTACCTGGAGCACCACTGCGGATTGAAGTTGGCACCTTTGGTATGGAAAACAGGTACTCAGCTGCTGAGTTATGGATCTTCCTATAAACATAAAGTAAGTGTCTAGTCTTCATGGTAATGGCCAAATGGCTGAATTAAACAGGAACACGGAAAGCCACTTTGCGTTGAGTCCATCTGGTTCATTATTGCCCACATTGACTGGAAAGATTTTGGAGAAGAGGTCTCTCCTAGCCAGTCCTGGAAATGCCATCAGAAATTGAACCCAGGACCCTCTGTGTGCCAAGCAGATGCTCTGCCACAGTACTACAGACCTTCTCCCTGAAACCAAATAAGGTTCCAGTCCTTATTGTTCTGTATAATAAAGGGCAGAATCAAACAGCAGCATAGGAAGTGCCTTCAAACACTATGTTCTGCTCAGTTCTGTCTACACTGAGCAGCAGCAGGAGCTCTCTAGGATTACCGGTAGGGAATGACTCCCAGTCCTAGCTGGAGTTGGGGGCTCAAACTTGGGACCTTCTGCTCTTCCACAGAGCTATGACTCTTTCCCCAAAAATAAAGTAAGATTCTAGTCCTCATGGTACTGAAGAAAGGACTGCATTATATAAAGCCACAGGAAGCTACCTTATAACAGAGCCAGACCACTGGCCCATGTAGCTCAGAACTGCCAGCACTGACTGGCAGCGGTGGCTCTCAAGAGATTCAGGCAGCGCATGTTTCCAGCCCTGCCTGACGGTGTCATTGGGTATTGAACCTGGGTCCTTCTGCGTGAGAGGCAAATGCTCTGCCACTGAGTAACAGCCCCTCTCCTAAAAAGACCACAGTCCTCATAATTCTGAATAAATGGATTGAACCTCAGACCTGCCACTGAACGACAACCATCCTCTGTGGCCTGGCTCCCCAAACAACCCCAAGCCTTAGAACCTCAACAGTCATACAATACCTACCATGTGTCCTTGTCAGCTGTCTGTGCCCCTCTGCGGCGGCCAGGCAAGGTGGGCCACTCTCTGTCTCCCTAAGCAACTCCCACTGAACGCAGTTGCCACCATGGCCAGCACCACCTCTGCCCGCCTTTGCAGCTCCATGGCCTTCCCCAGCCAGGGCTGCTTCTGTGCTTGCTCCCTCTTTCTCTCCCTCTGTGGTCCCACTGTGATGCTGTCTGGAGACAAGAGGTCCCTCTGGATGGGGAAGGGCAGCCTTTTTATTCCCGCCTTCCTGTGCAAATCAGGGCTGGGATGGACAACCTGGGCAGGAAATCCCTGCGGGTGTCACTGGCTGATAAGGAGCTTTGCAAGCAGAAAAAAAACACACAAGCCAACTCAGGAGGGATCTGGAGAGAGAGAATTTAATACCTTCGCAGTCTGTAAAGGGATAGGACAGTTGAAAAGACTCCCTTGGTAGATGTTGGGCTCTCCTTCCTTAGAGGTTTGTAATCAGAGGTTGGCTGGCCATCTGTCATAGATGCCTTAGTTGACATTCCTGCCCTGCAGAGGGCTGGACTAGATGAACCTTGGAGATCCCATCCAACTACACAATTCTATCATTCCATGAGGAGGCAGATGGGACTTGTGACAGGGGGCCAAACTTTCATCCCCAGGGGGGTGGCACTTGAGGATCGGGTGATGGGAAAAGCGTCTGCCAGAGGCCATGAAGAGCTACTGCTGGTCAGAGCTGGAAGAGTCAGGCCCTTGGTCCATCCTTCTCAGTATTGTCCACACTGACTGGCAGCTCCTCTTCCGAGATCCCTTCCTGGAGATGCAGGGATCAAACGAGGGACCTTTGGCGTGTAAACCAGATGCTCTGCCACTGAGCTACAGCCCTTCTCACCAAAATATAGTGAGATAGCATAGTTGGTTAGAGTATGGTGCTGATAATGCTAGAGTCATAGGTTCAATCCCCATATGGGATGGCTGCATATTCCTGCACTGCAGAGGGCTGGACTAGATGATCCTCAGGGTCCCTTCCAACCCTACAGTTCTATGATTCTATTATTCTAGTTCTCACAGTTATGAACAAAGAGCCTTTTCCAAAGGCTTGTTGGTATCTCACCATGGCTGCTTTGATTTCAGCAAGCATTGGCCACGAAATCTCAAATGCTATCTATCAGGATCACAGTTGTACTGCATGTTAAAAACTGAACAATATCCAGGGCCAAATTTTGAAATCAAACGCCAAATACTCAAAGCAAATACAATCACATGTCAAATATCTAACAGGCTGCTACATCTGACAATAGCATCATTTCCTGTGGTGAGTCTGTGCTCATCTCTTTTATCCTGATATTGTCTCTCCTCAAACAGGTTCTGCAGGTTTTGGTAGTGCTTGAAAAACTTGCAGAACTGTTTTAGCGAGAGCAAATTCTAGGTGCGCCTATCGCAGGGGAAATGTTTGGGGAATATCCAAAATATTCAGAAATGAGCCGAGGCTGGGATAGCTCAGTTGGTAGAGCATGAGATTCTTAATCTCAGGGTCGAGGGTTCGAGCCCCACATGGAGCAAAAGATTCCTGCGTTGCAGGGGGCTAGACTAGATGATCCAGGTGGCCCCTTCCAACTCTGTAATTCTATCACCATGTGAACATTCAGCACCAAAATTAGAGACCTTTTTGAGGAGCAAATTCAGTGCAATTCTAAATTGGTATAAGATTATGCATGGTCTGGAGAAAGCAGATAGAGAAAATTTTCCCTCCCTATCTCCTAATTGGTGGATATCCTATGAAGCTGGATGTTGAAAGGTTCAAGGAAGGAATGCAGAATGGAAGTGAATATAGCATATACATTTAATAAATAACCACCCCAGAAAACAAGGCACAATCCACACTGTACATTTAAAGCAAATTCCCCCTCAAAAGAACCATGGGAGCTGTCGTTTGTTAAAGGTGCTGGGAATTGTAGTTCTGCCAGGCGTAAACTATAGTTCCCAGCATTCTTATTGGGAAGCCGTGTGCTTTAAATGTATGGTGTTCAGTCAGTTTGAGTCAAAACTAATTCCACGTCAAAGCAGTCTTAAATTAAGGGTTGTAGCCACATTCAGTGGGAGTGTTCAGTAATATTAACGGACCCTACGAACCAAGCCCATTCATTTAAATGGGTCTACTCTGTGTAAAAAGTACTGGGATGCAACTCATTATCTGTTAAGAATTAATGGAACAAAGATTTATGCAGCAGGCCATCTGAAAAAGCCCCCACCCACTGCCCAGTATTTGGCCATTTCTGCTTCTTAAGAGTTCCACAAGTTAATTATACATTAAAGGGGCACCACTTTGGGTGACTTCTGAGTTTGTATGAAGGAAGGAGAAAGAGATTCCCCTAACCTAAGCGATTCTTTATTTCTGGTGGCTGTGGGATTGTGTAATAACAGAGGAAGTGCTTTGCCCAAAGGCAAGTAGAAGGCACCTACCCTTTTCCTCTGTGGGTGGTGGTGGTGGTGGTGTCTGTGACCGTTGTCAACACACTCATGGATAAAATTGCATAAATAGTCAGTCAGTGGTGGTGCTTTCTAAGAGCGTAAGAAGAGGCTTCTGGATCAGGCCAATGGCCCATCCAGCCCAGCATCCTGTTCTCACAGTGACTAACCAGGTGCCTTTTTTCTGGGAAACCTGCAAGAAGAGTTCAAGCATGAGCAACGAACTCTCCTCCTGTGGTTTCCAGCAACTGGTATTCAGAAGCATAGAGGCAGAGAATAGCCATCAGGGCTTGTAGCCAAAAAACACCCTGTACCACAATACCCTGCATTTAGACCCTGCTAAACCTCATTTGAAAGATGAACAGCACCAGAACACACACCCAGAAGCCCACCTGTATACAACACGCCTACACCTTCTCACTTTTATGACTCCATCAAGTGTTCTTACAAAGAATAATCTCCAATTTCCTGACTTCCCATGCTAAAGGCTGCACTCAACCTTAAAATATAGTTAAGAAAGAATAGTGAGGGTGTGGTGTTGTTGCTGCTGCTGCTGCTGCCATGTGCACTGATTCTCCCTCAACCTCTTGGGTTTCAAGGGTATCAAATGCACACTCACATTGTTTTAGCCACTTATCTCTCTTCATCAGGGGTGAGGGAAAGTGGGGAGGAGAAAATGCTATTATTCTGGTGAATGCACAGTCAGTATTTTTAAAAAAACAATGATTATTTTGGGGAGCGAAAACTTCCTGGTTCAGCAGGACTCTTGTGGCAGGGTTGCTTTGCAAAGTCAGGAGTTCAAACCCTGATAAGGCTTATTTTATTTCTGCATATGTGCATTTTAGTAAAGATTCCTTTTAAAAAATCATTTTATAATGCATATAAAACAGAGAGAACTGTTATAAGAACAGATGGAAATTAAAAGATGGAAAAACAAAATTAGAAAATAGGCGTGTAGAATTCGCTTGGTTGCACATGGAATGAAATGACAAAAGTCCAAGTAAGGACTGTCAGTGTTATCAGATTATCAATTCCAGTTCCAGATTTGCCAGATTTGGGTCAAGGGTTGTCATGAAAGTGTATATGTCATAAAAGAATGCCAGGTCTCATATAGAAATGCCTGGGGGTTCTATTCCTCAGCTCTATGATTCTGTGATATCTGAAAATATGCATAATTTTCTCCATTCTGGCTCTATTCCAGAGTGAGTGGCACTAAGCACCCAGTGTAAGATTTTGGGCTGATTTCTGCTGAGTTGCAATTACTATTTGAGCTGCCAAAATCATACATCGGATGATCAAAATCTTTTTGACAACTTAGCTACAACATGTCTACTTTGGCATCATCAGAAATATTCAGTGATATTAATTACGGACAACAAACAATAGCTTCTTTAATAATAGTACCCTTAAGAGTAAATACTTTATTATTAAGAGCATAATAATAATATTCAGGATTTAGGTACCAGTTTGGGGAATCCATGGCTCTCCAGATGCTGTGGACAACTCCCATCAAAGGAGGCTGCCCTATACATTGGTCACAGCATCACTGAATACTAGAGGTGAAAGTGACCCTGAAGCTCATCTGTTCCTGCAGATCCAATGCAGGTCCACTGAGCACCTCAATGCTGTCTACAATGACTTGCACCTGGAGGTGCTGTTGAGGATTGAATCTGGGACCTTCTGCATGCAAAGCAGGTGCTCTGACCCTGTGCTATGACTCCCCCACTCCCCCGAGTATAATAAGGTTCTATTCCTCATAGTTCTGGATAAAGGGATGAATTGAAGAGGAGCACAAGCAGCTGGCTTATACAGAGTCAGGCCCTTGGCCCACCTAGCTGAGTATTGTCTACGTTGTCCGGTAGTGGTAATGTTAATTTTGGACAAGAAACAATGGTGTCTTTATCATACCTTTCAAAATTAAATCTCAAAAATCTTGCTAAGGATTATTTTTATTATGCTGGAAGCCACAAGGATTTTGTTGCTTTAGAGTTATTCAAGGCCTTTCCCCCTTCAAAAAAAAAATATGCAAAGGGATGAAGATTTGCAATGAGGGATTTCAGCTCATTCCGTTCCTGCCCCTTGCTAGTTTGCACCCTCGACTGCAGCTCGAATAACAGTTCACGTACCCCTAGAAATATCTGTTTCTGCCCTCTGTCAGGAAACAGGAAGTGGATGTGAGAAAGAGATTTGGAAGTCTGCTTGGGAGAACAATTAGAATCTCAACAGAGAGGAAATGGGAACTGCGTCAGGAGTAAAAAATCACTTTGTTGGTCAGGGAAGAGAGAATGACCTTTGCAGTCCAGAGCCCGTGAGGCTGATGGAGCCCCTGCACAAATATATAGCCTTAAAAGGCCTTTTTCCTGGAGTGGGGGGTGGGGGCTGAGCAACAGGACCCACCACTCTGGGAGAGCCACAGTCCTCACTACCTGAAATTCAACAACGACAAAACATTGTTTCATCTTATCTTTAAAATTAGACTTCTAGAAAGCTGTCAAGGCAGTAAACGACCATTTGCTACAGAAATGCCACCTCTAAAAACAACAACTGGATGGTGGTAGCTCAGAGGCAGAGCATCCCAGGCAGAAGGTCCCAGGTTGAATCCCCAGCAGCATCTCCAAACAGGGCTGAGAGAGATTAATGCGCAAAACCCTGGAAAGCCACTGCTGCCAGTCAGTGTAGACAATGCTGAGCTAAATGGACCAAGCACCTGTCTCTGAATGAGGCAGCTTCCTATGTGCCCCTTTAACCCAGGCTTTTCTTCAGAACCATGAGGACTGGAACCTCACTTTGATTTTAGGGGAGGGCTTGCAGTTCAGTGGCAGGGCACCTGTTTTGCATGCAGAAGGTCCCACCTTCATTAGCTGGCATCTCTAAGTGAGGCTGGGAAACCCCCCGGAATCTGAAGCCTTGGAGAGCAACTGCTGGGCAGCATAAACAATACTGAGCTGGACCAGCTGTGTATAAG